TTCTTTAAATTTTTTAACACTGAACACTTATAAGGTATTTTCTCTCTCCTTTCTGCATGCCTTCGTGGTGCAAGCACACTCGGTGCGTATTCAAGACGACCAGATTCGGGTCCCAGGGAGTGTATTGCTCACTTTTTATGTCTATAAAATGAGCTAATGACTCTACAAGCTGTTGGAAAGAATGAGTCAAAGGAATAAAATACATGAATAAGCACATTTTAAAACCATACACATTTTTTAAATTGTTGCATAAATTTAATTCATTTTAATTCTTTGTCAAATTAATTCTTTGTCAAAGTGTTATGAATACATGATGATTCTGGGCACTTTTCATAAATTCTAGGCTTTATTTATTGATTGATTTATTGATTATATGCAATGATATTTAATTCTGTAATATAAATGAGGATAAAACAGCAAATTTAATTAAAATAACTTCAAATATGATTTCAAATATGATTAATTCATATTGAAATGATTGATTCATATTATGAATTTTTTAACATATATTTAGGAATCTCTCTAATTTTCTCTTCTTTAATAATTTATTAAGTTTTCTGCTCTAAATTCATTGATGGTTTTTAAATTTAATTTATGTAAACTTCTTAATCTTTAACGCATTTTCCATTTTATGTTATCAACTTTAAAACGTTGGATTAGTCAGAAAAAAATCAGAATCTCTTACACAGAATGTCCACTTATTAGGCTTTATGCATATCATTAATTTTGACTAATGTGCTCCAGAGCATATAATTTAAAGTATAGTTACCTAAAAGCGACTATGTATTATCAATTTAATATGCCTTCAGTGCCTGGAGCTGAAAATTGAAAAACTATAATCCCAGTTTCAAAATAAAATCAGATCTTAAAAATAAGGCAGAAGTTTTCATTACCAAAGCTTTAGAGAATTCTTTACTTGCATGGAAAGGCGCGATGTTTGGACATGACAGTAAAAGAAGAAGTAAAGACCAAGCTCTAAATAAGAAAATGTCTCATAATACTGAAATATTTTAATGAAATAGTAAGAAATGTGCAATTGTTTAGGTCTGTGGTATCGAGTTGTGAATATACCCATTCTATAATGTCCTTTATATTCAACAAAATTTTCTTTACATTCAGCAACGCTCTTTCTTGACGTTTTTTCACACCTTATTTAGGAACAGAAAAAAAAATTAATTAAAATATCATCCAGCTTTCCAGACCTTTCCTTTATTCTTCCAAAGGATTTCTTTAGCGAGATAATCTGTAATATTCATGAAGTGTTTATTGTTTACTGCAAAGAGAATGGCTCTGAAAAATTCAGCAGCATGTATTTTCTCCCCTTTCTTTCAAGCCTCTCAGGCAATTTACAGAACATCTGAAGAGTTAGAATTTTCCTTTTATTTCATTTTCTTTAACCTCTATATACATGTTATGCCCAAAGCCTCACTTCTTTCAATACTAAATAGTTAAGTTTTATAGATGAAACATTTTGCTCTTAGACCTTTTTTAAGACATAAATTTTACTTTTTTAAACTCGCTGCTAAAGGGACAGCAAAGACTCGATAGATAATAAATAATTATAATAATAACATAGGAAAATTATAGTGCATAGTTTATTTTGGATTAGTAAATCTTTTTTCTCAAATCGAGAACATTTTAATCAATAAAAACGTGGATGACTTATATTTGTTGTAATACTCGCTTGTCTGACCTATAGTCAACCCAAGACCACAAAATTCCTCGTGGCAAGGAGCGCAAGTTTACGCCTGTCGTTGGTAGCACCTAACACGTGACAGTGCGATTTTGCTCAGTTCCGCCCCCAATTTTGATGGAGATCACCCCATGGAGGTAGGAAAGGGAGGAGGGGCCATTCCGCGCTAGAAGTGAAGCACTGCTTTGAAGCTTAGGTCACCAGACGGGGTGTTCTTTGTTTACATTCAGAAGCTCGCTTGACAAGATTCTGATAGTATTTCGACACACGACAGTTCCATAGAAATCGAAAAAGGGACACTCTCGCATGAAAGAAACATTCATAGTGTGATGGATAATAGCAATTTGTATAGTTTACTGACATTTACGCAAAAATCACATCTTGGTTATTTTTCGATAACTAACAACAGCGATTTTGATCATGAATTTGTTTTATAAAATTCTAAGCTGTTGCACTACAAAATATAGATTTTAAGAAAATTGCTAAAAGAGATCTGCCAAAATTTATTTTCTAGAAGATTTGAAAAAGTTTGAAACTTGATGGCTAAATGTAAATATAAATTATGTATGTTAAAATATTTGTAATTAGGCACATAGGTCAGATTAAGTTTTTATTAAATCGAGTAACGCATGCAAGGGCTATCTGCCTAAAGAGAGATGCCATCGTGGAGGAATTTTGAAGAAAAACTGACCTTTGAGTGGGTATTAAAAATAATACTTATAATTTTCATTCAAATTATATTCATATATATTTTTATGTAAAAACTTTCGGCTGTATGCTAAATTAGTGTAAATTACTTTACACGAAAAATATAGTGAATGCACAGAAATTAAAGATTTGCACATGCCGGAAATGATAAATAGGAAATATGTATGGGTATTTATGCATGTGCTTGCAAAAAGCATGTATCTGCCTTTGACAAAATACTTAAATATTCATTAAATTATTATAAATGTATTTGAAATGAAGAATTCATTTACTTATAAACAACTGTGAAAGTACTGTGAAGAAATCTAATGATTAAATGTATCTAATTTATAATGATTATAAATGTTATCTAAATATATAATAACCTTAATATTGAATTGTAAACATAAATTGAAATCCTGTTGACAAATACGTTATAAAATTATTTAAGCAAGAATTGTTCGTATTGGAAAGCAATCTGTTAAAAGGTATTGTAAAGCAAATGCTATGAGATGCGCACTTAAGAACGTAATAAAGAGTTTTGGAATATGTATTGTTGAAATGAAATGTAAAAAAAAAAAAAAAAAAATCTGATAAGTATAATTAAAAGAATTATTCCCTTTACATTTTATAAAAACTCAGTTACATTAAATAACACTTAAAAAAAAAAAAAAAAAAAAAAAAAACTTATTTTATTCCCTTTCAAATGTTTAGAGAAAGTCAAATACTATTTAATACTATTTAATTATTAGGAATTAAGCGAATTATTTAAAGTATTTCGCTAATTCCTAATAATTCTCTAATTTAAAATGAACCGAATAGAGCATTAATTATAAATTGACTTACATTTTTCGATTTAAAAGAAGCCAAAAATCATGTCATATTTAAGAAAGTATTTTAGGAAGAAGCTCTATAAATAGAAAAGAAATAATGCATAATTTTAATATTAATAATACAATAAACTTTGATCTTAATTTGTACCTTAACCGAATAAAATCGAATTACCTTAATTTTTTATATTTGTGACCGTATTACAAATATTTACCCCGAACGCGTCAATCCCATAGAACTCATGGTAATGACCCATTTTTGGTCACCCGTAGGGATCGCGGTGCTTCAGAGCAGGGTACGGAGAAACTTTAGGGCGACTCCATCTTACTTCCTACCTCCATGGATCACCCCGGGGGAACGGGTCCGAGGGTCTTCCACCCCTCTTTCCCTACCTGCAATCTCTCGAGAGCAATTTTTTTAAGCATTTCAGTCAACTAAGTGCATTAAACGAAAATATTTCTCTTCAGTAATATAAAGCATACATTACTAAAGTAATTATATTTGAAAAAAAATAATAATAGTAATATTGAAATAATCGAATATTTATATAAAATGTTAGTATTGAGACTATCAAATTCTTCGTTAAGTTAACGAAACACCTTTTTAAATATATGAACATCCCCTTTACGATTGGCAACAACTAATTATTTTCGTTAAGTGCACAGAAATCAATCACTATGCTTTGAAAGTGAGGAAAACATCGAACCGATCTGAATGACACTAAATTAATTTCTTTACAAATTACGATGAATTTGATATAAAAGATCGATTCTAACATGCTGTGTCAGACCAGTATTTCTTTGCAGTCGTGGTACAAAGAAGGAAAGAAATATGAAAGTAAGTCCCTTTAAGATTTTATATTAAAGTTTATGTCTTTGTTTTTCAGGTTTCATAAATATAGTGTATTATTAAATAGTTAAACAATAAAGTGCAATTTTTACGGATGTAAATTATTTGCATAATCACGAGAAAAGTATTTTTTAGACAAAACTTTCTTCCATGAACTCTTAAATTTAATCCTATGTAACAATTTTTGTATTTAAGACAATATTTCATTTATGCATTTTTGTTGCATTTCATAAAACTGAATTAAACATGTAATGCCTTAATGTAACAGTGTAAAGCATGTAACTTATGTATCCTCCTGATTTTAATACAGAAATTTTTCAATTAAATGTCTTTCTGTGTAGTTAAGTGTTTAAAATAATTCTATGTATACTGATTTCTTTTATTCATAGAATATTTTGGAGCTGATATTAAGTAATGATAATGATTTTTCCTACCAGTTAAAGAGTCCAGGAGTTGAGTAACTTTACAATTGTCTATTTTCTGATTTTAGTATTCTGGGTTATCTTATAATTTTCCAATTTTTAGTTTCTTATCAAGACATTTGTTATTGCAAATTAATTCATTGAAGAGCCTTCTTATAAATGCAGGTATTTTTTACCGAAGAACCAGGTTATATCCCAAAAGTAAGAGGCCTCCCGCGAAACATTTGTCCATGTTTATATTAAATATGCTGAAATTTTGGTAAATCTCTATGCAATTAACTCATTCAGGAGCAAGAAATGGACTTCTTGTGAGATGCAAGTATTCATTGATGTCATCAACCAGACCGCTGATGGAGTATAAACGACTTAGTATTTCCCACTGATTACTCAGGAACACAATATTCAGACTTTCAGCGTAAGTACTGAGACATAAATGACGTCTTCCTTATTTTCATTCAAAAACAGGAGTTTGAAGAAAAACTTAAAAATAAACTATTTCTTAAATTACTTTATTTCCGCTTTGAATTCATTTTTTAACATCAAACTGTAAAAAACTGTACCTTATGTCTTGAAGTCATGATCTCGTTTTCCGCTGGGCAGCTGTGCCCTGCTTCGGATAATTTTATTTGTATATTAGCGAATTAAATGAATGCTGCTTCTTTCTGAATCTTGTATTTTACCTGTTATCAGACCAGACATCTCTTCACAGTCCCACTTTCTATGTTTTCTTCCGTATTTCCTTAAAAACTACACTAATATTATTGAACTAACTATGTATATGTTAGCTAATTTCGTCTTTTTTCCATGCTATGGTTTTAATTGAACTAATCTAAAAATGAAACTTCAAAAGAATACATTCTTTGCTTTTAGTACTTTTGCATATAAAAAAAGATTAATAATTTTGATAATATTAAAAGATTTTTATCTCCAAATTGAATTAAAAATTAATTCCAAAAGGTTTTATTGTTTATTTCAAAACACTTTTAAACAAGAGAGCAATGTGTTATCCATAAAGGAATTCTAATTTAAAGCAGCATTTTATTAATGTATGGAATTACTATCAGCTGTAAATAATAACGTCTATCTTCTGTATTGGAATGCTGTTACTACAGTATGGGATACCTTATTAAAAAGCAGGTATTACAATGGATCATGGCCTGAACAATCGGCCAATTAACTAATATCCACGTCACCTAAAATGCTGCCTAAGTTCATCTTGGAGATGGCGACTAATATTATACCCAATAAGGAAAAGGGAAGGTAACACTCAAACAATCAAGTTTTATAGAAATAAAATTTTAGAACTCATGCAGTTGGTTTCGGACTAAAAGACAGCTCTACTAAACAGCACAATATTTGGGATTGCATAATTTTAATATAAATAATGCGATATTGGATATTGCTACTGATTTCGAAATTTTTTACAAGCTATGCTTGATTGACCTAACTGCAAATGAATGGGCTTTTAAAAAATCTTAATCTGAATACTTTTTTTATTCTACAGCTTCTTATTTAAGTATTGTCATCAGCTCACAAGCAGCTCCTTTATTGGTAGAGACTCATGCCTTGCCAGAGGTAGGCGCCAGTACGCAGTACAAAAGTCAAGATGTGAGTACTTACTCAAATACTTCTTTTAATCCTGCACTTCACTCATATGTGCCAACTTTTATTATTCCAAGAAATGCTTCTTCCTGAATGAATTCCAACTTTTATTATTCCATGTCAATTGCTTTATTAATTTTATGAAACGTGACGAAAGCACGTTAAATAGATTGTGCAGTCTCGGAAAAAAGAATATATAGTCTTATAACAATAGAAAATAAGAAGTCTTAAAAGTAAGACGAATTTTAATGCTTCTTAATTTAAATTATGTTACGTATTTTAATTTTCAAAGTAAACGATATAGTTTTAACTAAAAATGGCTTCTGCATATGATCTTCAGCTATTTTCCTTTTTCAGATTTTTTTAACTGAAAATTTGTGATTGACTTTCTTTACTGTTTTCTCCTTAAACATTCATATTTTTTTTAATCGTGGAAGTTTATTTACAAATTATAATTTCTTAAATGGCGGGAGCAAATACTTTGATAGGAAACCAAATGCATTTGATATAAATAATATGGTTTTAATTAATAAACGAAATTAGGCTGCCATGTTGTTTCTGAAAAGACTGAAGAAACCTTCTACTTTTAATTTTTTCCCCCTTCCTTTTTTTTTTCCTTTTCAGCCCAAAGGAACTTTGTCCCTGAAGGACTATTGTTTTCGTTTTGCGATTTTGTGGTGAATCACTATAAATGTCCGTTTCACTTTTCAAACTGTGCCACCAAAGGTAATCCTCAAATCGTGCCACCAAGTACTATCCCTGTATTATTTGAAAATTAATATGAAATCTGCAAAATGTATTTATTTCTGGCATGTGAAACAACGGTACACAGAGCATCGATTTTGAATGGCATAATTCTAACTGCGAATAGACATGTGGAAGCCCAAATTCGAAATTGGAAATTGTTTATTATCGATTTTATAGTTTTAAAACTTTAACGAATTTTTGATTAACAAACTCAAGGATTTCAAAACGAGCAATAGCAACTTGGGAAGAAGGGGAAACCTTTTTATCTCCAGCGCGCGGAACTGTGTATCGGAAATCCTAAAGATACGCTCATTTTAAAATTATTTTGCGACATTGCTATTGAACTGAATTTTATGGTTTAAGTGCAAAGAACGTGATATTTAATAAATAAAAGTAACACACAAAACGTTAAAGAAAAACGCCGCTTTGGACTTATTTAATATCTGAAACATTTCAGATTTTTTTTTCTTTATTTTTTTTCTTATACTAGCTAATTGAAATTTCAAAGATAATATTTCAAAATACGCGTTGCTTCCTAATTTATTACAGAGCAGCATAAAGTGATCCAAAGTACTTCAGAAAATATTTTAACGGAGTTCTCGTCCAAATGCGGTCAAAATTAAATAACAAGAAAATTATCCTGAAATTTCTTTTTAACATATTATTCAGATTTTAGGTTAAGAAATGTAAATACGTCAATCAAAAATTGAATTGCATATAATGTAGAATACTCATGACTTTTGTTTTTCTTTAAAATTAATAAGATAATTTTTCTCCTAGAGCTTAGGTAATTACGCATTTGGCTATAATGAAGATCATACAAGTGGAGGAAGTTTCAGAAAAGAATTCGGAGACTCTTTAGGTAACAAAATTGGTTCTTATGGTCTTCACAATGCTGATGGGAGAGCTCGGGTTGTTAACTATGTGGCAGACAGCGCTGGATTTAGAGCAGATGTTCACACTAATGAACCTGGAGTCGATCCTACCCAAGACTCTGCTGATGTGACAGTCAACAAGCCAGTTGTGGTGGCACCACTTCCAACTGCCATTGCCCATCCTGTCGCCGTCACCAAACATCACACGGCTGTTCTTGTTCACAATCCTACATTTCATGCAATCCCTGTAGAATCTTTCTATACACACGGCCATCTCTTATTGTAATTTGTTGATATATTGATGCAAAGATGAACAATTAAATGTTTGCTCAAGAAATAAGTCCCTTTTGTATCAAAGGTCTAATAAGCAATTTATATATTTTTATATATCTGAATTTCTTTATTCTATGTGCTTCATAAATTCTTATACACTCTGCATAATTTATTAGCAAATACAGGGTTTTTTATCTACGTAAAAAACTTCAGTATCTTATTTTATGAATATATTTTCTCTTAATTCGGAAGTAAGGTTTTGCTGGGCATCTATATAAGCTAAATTCGGCTTCCCAGTTGTACATTTTCTTGGATTAAACTGTGCTTTTGCATTATACGTATATGGTGGTGGGATAATATGAAGTAGCTAAAAGCAAATTGGCAAAATTAATTTTGCATTTTTACTAAGAATTTTAAAAGTCATGTTAAATTAATTCTGCATTATTGTACACTAATCAACACTTTAAATTCGATTTATATTGGGTATTATTCACGATCTTTGGATTAAGGTGCAAAAAGCGATTTTCAGAATTTTGATTTTAAAGAAAATTTTATTTTACGAAAGACCATTCCTATGTAATTGAAGCGGGAGTTAGCAGTAAATTAACAGTAATAAAATCAAAGCTTATTTCAATAAATTAGCATTAAAGCTTGCTGTCATTTCATTCATAATACGCATTTCAGTTTACGATTTTTTAAATAGTATGTAATGGTGAAGATTAGATCATAATTTTTTTTAATTGGTTCATTTTGTCTTCAATTTTATCGCCACTTTATTCTTATGGTTCATACGGCAAAGAGATATTTTAAAATTACTCATTATAAATTTCTGATTACTATTAAAAAATATGTATTTTTCATACTGTTTATTTTAAAGTTTAAAACTGAGCAAAATGAAATGTAAATGTTTAATAAAAAATACAAATATATTAATTCCAAATGTGCTTGGATTAAATATTCAGTAACATAATTTATGCCATGCGTGTTAAAAATAATGAATATGAATTAGTTGTGTAGTTTTTTGAAGTATATGTCTGTACTTTGTTAAAATATTAGAAATTGGTGTTTGAAATGCTTTTTGCCTTGAGAATTTTTAATTGCATTGTATTGCTTCAATAAAATTGCTGAAAACACTAAAATAAAGTTTTATTAAATTCATTACATTCATTTGTGCATCATACCTTTAAAAATTAACGTAAATATTATTTAGTTCTGAGAAATCTGTTCTAATTTTATTAAGTTTTTACAGAGCCCAGTAAGTCGAAGTTCTAATTTTAGTACCTGCAGTGAAATTTTAGCAAATTGGTTTAGTATTTTCTGTTTACCGAGAAGTTATGTTATTATAGATTTCGAGGAAGAAGGTAATATGTAGAATAAGAATTATAAATATTTTATAACCATTTATAACGTGGATAATCTGTAACTATTTTTAAACAATTGGACTGTGACAGTTCGATGACAGCTATTTAATTACTTTTATTCATTTTTATAGCAGTTTGAAAACTCAGATTTATAAGCATTAACTTATTTTTGTTTCGGTTAATTAGTGCGAAGTAAAACGCAATTTAACGTTAGAAATATAAGAACACAAGAAAAAATCAGAATCAAAATGGACTGGCAAAATTCATTATAATGAATTATAGCCATTTGAAAGAGAAAATATAGCTTTCAGATAATATGTGAAATTCATTTAAATCATATTTTCTCCATATTTCTAGAATTATCAACTTGTTCCGTCATATTTCCTTTTCATTGCTTAACATAGTATAGAAATGTAATAATTTATCTGTAGATAACTTACGTTAGAAGATAGCTTGAAATTGTTGCGAAGATGGCTTGATGGACTTACAAAGTACCGAGTTAAACACATAATTTATTCCGGAATATTCTTGATATATATCTCCATTCAAACATCATTAATTTCTTAGAACATCCATTCTTTATTTTCATAGTGCTATGAGTGCTATAAGTGCCCCACAGTTCTTATATAAATGTTTCACATCTTTAAGTAATAGACGACAGCAGCGAAACGAATAATTACATGCTGGAAAAGACAGTGCAGGTGAGAAAGTAAAGTATATTTGCCAACATTCAATTTATAAACTCGGCTTCTTTGCTTCAGTTTTTAATGATGATTGGATACTCATCATTAAAAACAGAACAGCTCTACAACGTTGTGAATCATTGCAGATGTAAGTCACGCAATAGAAATTCCTTGAAAGGGACATAACTAAATTAAACTTAGGGATTAAAAGGGCTATTGTCAAATTAAATTAGCAATTTGTTACTATTTTTCTTTCATATTTCATATCTTATATATATATTCTTCTACCTCTTGAAAACGTTTTAATCTTACAATGATAAAAGAATTTTTCCTTAATTACATTTACTATTTGTAATTTGTGTACTTTTTTCATATACATAAATACTTTTCCAACTCAGACCAAATTAATTTCATAGGATCTACTAATTTTACTTAATTATTTTTATAATTTCATTAAATTACATAAATTATAGCTTTTAATTCATTATTTGCCTATTTAGTTATAAATTAAATTAGTAATATACCTAAATATGTATAAACGGATGTAAACTTACCTTGTACTTGTATTTTTCGATAAATTTGTATGCATAACTGTATAATAATACAGTATAACTGTATAACTGTATAATAATACAGTTATGCATACAAATTTATCGAAAAATTCTTTTTTTTTTTTTTTTTTTTTTCTAATTATTTGATGAAATTGTTTTACAAAATTTTACAGCGACTTTTTTTATGTTTTATCATTAGTTTATGCTTGTCCCATAAACTTTAAAAGCTTCCTTTACACTGATTATAAGAAACGTTAAATTCAGAGAATTAAAATGTTTCCTTGTTTATTTAGGATACAAAGTCACAGGTTATCGTTCCGTTCCACAGGTATCCATTCATTGTCCTTTAAAAAGAGATAAATGATACTTCAACTTTCTTAAAACATGTGGGCAGTTTTATTTTAAGCAAATAAAAATTTATTTCATTAGAATATTGTAACAAACCATTAAAGTAATCATGATAATTAAAGAACTAAATAAATCAATATAAATATATTTAAATCAATCTCAGAATTCTAGCCTAATAGCAAATTTCCATAATAATAATATTACGCTAATTTATTACAGCTGTAATAATATTTAACGTAAATAATTTATCATAACTATAATAATAATATAATGCCACTACAGTAGTAATTTATCACAATTTTAATGGTCGACTGTAGTAATAATATATCAAATATGTAATATAATCAATTTACATAATATTTTACATTGTATAAATGATAAATTATTATTCATCATCATTTAACAACCCTTTAACAATCCCGGAATGAAATATTTTTTTTGATGTTATTTCAATTTAATAATTTTCAGATTTTTAAGACTGTAATTATTACGCTAAAACAAGCGATAATATTGTGGAGACATTCATCTTCCCATGGATTATGTACCACATCGAAAGCTTACAAATTTCCCGCAATGCAGCTCCAATAAGAAGTTTCTACTCACTGAATTATACAGTTTTAAATCCTATGCATATCTTGCAATTTTATGTGCAACTCTGATATTACACTTACTTAATAATATCCAATGGCATTTAAGTACTTAACACTTAAAACGAAACCGTATTATGCATTCTTTTACATTAAGTTTAAAAATTTATTAGACTAATTACGATATTGATACATACAGCCTAAAATTTAATAAATATAGCTGACTTCCAGTGATTATTTTAATGCATTTAATTAAATTTTCTCCAATAGAATTCTTCATAGTAAGTGACTTCCAAGTTCATCATATCTAGCTGCACATTGAATCATAATAGTAAGCTCTTTATTCAAAGCTTTTCTGCGTTTGAATATTACGTAACTTAAAAATAAATTACTCTACACCAAATCAAATAGCTACAAATTTCAAACTTAAATTCTAGACGTAATAAATAGCTTCTTATAGCTAAGAATTTATAGAAAGGAGTATATCTTCTCTAAAAAGGTACATCTTTAGCTCTATTCTCTGTTTAATGGTTTTGGAACTGCTAGCAATAAGTCCTTTGCTCTAAATCTTCAAATAATTTTTCAAAAACATAGCATTTCAAATCACAGTTTTTCAATGAAACGTATTTTAACCTGCTCGCAAATTAAATTTAAACACCACGTCTTTACCTTCGTATGAAAATAATCCCTATTGATTAATATTCTGCTTAGTTACATTTTCAGCTTAGATATACCTATGAAATAGTAGCTATAAAACGTTTTTAAACGCATAACTATTTAAAATTATTTAAATGAAATATTAATTAAATACGTTATCCGTTTGTTACATATAATCCATACGTATATGATTCTGTGTAAATATTACGGAAGTTTAAGTTCAGTTATTCAGATATCTTATGCAAATACAAAGCAGAACATCGAAAAAACGTTTTTTGTAGTTTAGTAAAAAAGTCTCTTGAAGTAATTCAGCTGAAAATATCGTCTGCAGTCAAAAGAAGAGTTTTAAAAAGCCTTAATTTTGGGTTCAATTAATATTAAAATAATCTAACTGCTTTCTAACGGGATGCTATAAATGAAGTTATAATTTTACGTTTTAAAATATGTCACCAAAGCTATTTCAAATCGTTCAGACGATACAGTTGTTTAGAAGAATTTAGCGTTATAGTTCTGAAACTAATTTAAAATACTTCCAGTAAATACGAAAACTTGCATTTTAAAAAGGTCGAAATCGAAGCACAGTTTGACTAATACGCTTCTTCCTATGAGTGAATGTTAGTTAAATAAGGAAATGTTTTAAATAAAGCGTAAGTTACGTTTCGAAGATTTTTTTTTTCATGCAAAAAATTTAGATGCTTTGGAAAAGTCGTGACTCAGAAGTTTGTTCCGATAAACATAGACAATATCTCGTTCTTTAATGTACGTAATATACCATATTTACGTATTAAAATACAAGCCTTTTCTTTTAATTAACAATTCATAAAGCTGATAAGTATTATATTTCGTTTTACAAAAAAGTATGAACTGAACATACTCTGGAGTCCAGAGTGCATGAGATCCTAACAGAATTAAGGTTAAATATAGATTAAAGAAGAATAATTAGCTTCCAAGATGGATTAACCTCCATCCGAAAAGTGAAAGTGAGATGCTACTCTTAACCTATGTGGCAAGGGAATATTCTTTCACTAATAGTGTGGGGGGGTATTAAGTACGCTTCTTAAAAATGTGAGTTTCCTAATCGTGGGATGGACGTCAGAACTGATAGAAGTACTGGATCAAGATTAACGGCGGATGCCGTTAGCACCCTACTTTGAAACTGGTTTACTATTACGGCATTTCCTTTCTAGAAAAAGTATAAAACCGCCGTATTTAAACCCTGCTGGTATCCTGATCGTTCAGTTCGAAGCAAATTTTAACTTTAAACAACTCAACTATACTCTAATTATGAAGGTAAGTGAATTAGTAAATTTCCTGAGATTTCAAAGCTTCTTCAAACACTGATCCTTAATTTTAAAATATTTGAATCTGCATGTTAATTCTTATTAGTAAAGAATTTGGAATACATAATTTATTTCTGAATGTAAAGAAATAGTATATTTTGTTTAATAATAATGTAATAATGTATTTTTTATTAAAAATAATTATATCAGCATAATGCGTTTTGTATGCATTATTCTTTCTCAACTAAATGCTTTGTCTATGGCGCTAGCCGCAAAATCGATTAGAAACTAACTTATTCCATACTTGAAATAGTAGATGCCACTTAGTAAAATTCTTATTCTACCATTTACTGTTAAATTACGTCATTTATTTTCTATTGTTTTATGAAGTTTTAGCAGACTTATGAATATGATAGTAATCATTAGGTTCTTTTTCAACTATTTGAGTTCGAAATTTAGCGCTTATTACCAAAATTCGTTAACTTCCTTTCCAGCCATATTCAGTTTTTGAAAACTGTTATTGACATCAAGTCAGTATATGGAAACCAGTTTTAGTCTTTAAAGAACTTATTCACGACATTATCTGTACAAAATCATATTGTGCTTATGATGCATTATTATTAAATTACTTCGTGTTAGTTGTTCTAACACGATATAAAACTGATTGTACTTATGATTCTATAATTTGAATTACATAAAATTTATTAACCCGAGTCGTGATTTCAGATAATAAGTTTGATATTAGTATTCCGATAATTTTAAGCACTTACCACTGTTGCTTTACTAGCAATGTAAATCAAAATTTATACTTCTGAACATTAACTCATATCTTTATCAATTTTCTTTATTTTTTCTTTTACCTAAGGCTTTTGCCTCGTCGATTTATTTATTCTTCGGTGATTATACTTTTATTTATCCATAAATGCATATCTATCCTTTTTTTATTGTTTAATTTCGGCTTTTTAGAAAAATAGTTGACTTCAATATATAAGTCTAATGCAGGTTAAAGTAATGCAAAAGTATCATTGGAAGTTAAGATGACTTTAAATGTAATGGAATGAAAAAAAAACTTGGAATGAAATTGTAAATGAAAATTGGAATGAAAAACAAATTTTAAAAATCCAACCTTACAACAATATTCTAACTTCTTCTTTACTGACCTGTGTGTGTTAAATTAGTAGCTACGTCAAAACTCAATTTTATATACCTCAAATCTCAGAATTTCAGATTTGTACTAGATGCTTGTGCTTTTGTTTTACTAAAGACTCCCGTATTAATAAACTTCATTAAACTCCTATTCGGAAGTGCATTGTGCATTCGGAAGTGCATACGCATTGTGCTTTTTGTCTTAGAAGCAAGTTTCTCCTTGAGTTGTAAAACTGAACTTTTTTCAGTTGTGCACTTACAACCCCCTTTATTTATCATAGTTTTTAAATCGATTTACGCAATCTTGCAGATGCAGCTTTAGATTAGTAGGTTTAATTAAACATCCTAATATACCCATGAAATGTTTCTGTATGTTCTGTATTTGTAAAAGTAGTGTTTGTAAGTATTCAAATAGCAGACCTATACTGATTACAATATAGCTTGTAAACTGAAATCCTGTAATTTAAATTTCACAAAGTTATAATAAATTAAATGTTTTTTTTTCCCTCCTCCCTCCCCACCAGATACTTGTGCTCTTTTTGCTGGTGGTCTCCTGCTATGCCCAATTCCAGTTCGACACACCTGTGGCTTCAACGAGACTTGGAGATGATGGAACTTCGTCGATTACTCAGCACTATAGAAACGACGTAAGTGCTTTTGACTCTTAAACAAGATAGATTGAGGGTAATAAAGATTTTAACCTATATCTAATAATTATATATAACAAATATACCTCTGATACGTAGCTAGAGAACGCATTGAATTTTAAATGCTTTTTACTAAGCCGTGCCAAACTTAATTAGTTGAGAAATTTTAGCATAAATTATTTTAAAGCTAAGTAACTTCTCATAATTTCAGCTCAGTTGGCCGTTATTGTATTAATAGTAATTATACGTGGCTACCTAAATAATCTACAATTTTGCCACGAATTTTGATAAATTACTATAAGTAAAATGGAGAGATCTAAACTTCTTAAAATACAGTAAACTACATAGTAAAACATTATTCATTCATTCATTGGCTTTGATTTTTAAAGCCAATGAATGAATGTATAATGTTTTACTATGTAGTGCTGTGCATCTTTCGAGGGATCATTTGATTTGATTTGATTTTACTTCTTAAGAAGGAATATAATTTCTGCCTTAAAGGAGAAAGACTCGTGTCATATCGTCTTTCAAAATATGTAGAACATTTTTAAATTAATCTCCAATTTAAGGCTCAGTTTTGTATTAGTTTGAAGCTTACATTAAATGCATTTATGATTTAAGCCTCATATCATAAGTACACTTCCCTCAAACTTACTCAGACTTCATTTATGCCTCACAGTTTGTTATGTTATCGAGATGTTATCGAGACTAAATAATGGAAGAAATGCCTTTAATTCATTGTGAAAAATAAAAATTCATTTAATCATCTTAATCATTAAAGTAGAAGTATATTGTTTCAATAGAAATAATAAAATTAAGACCATTAATAATAAAATATCCATTAAAAAAGAAATTCATTACACATATCTCAAACCATTTGTATTTATGAACGGTACGTTTCGAGTATTTGGAAAAAAAAAATTAGGTATGCTTTCAGAATAAAATTAGAAGTATAAAACATAATGACATTGTAAGCTATTCAAGATGCTTAGAATTAGCCTTCAATATTAAGAATATTAATACTCGTATAAATGGAATACGTACAAAACATGCCCCACCAAACTAAATAAGAGGAAAAACATCTGCACATAAGATATTCTGTTGCAGTAATAAGTCTTTAAATTACGAAACAATTTATTTATCCTTTATATTTACGAAAGCAAATTTGAATAGTTATGAGAAGAATTTTCGCTTTTCGCTAAAATCCTTCGAACTTTTTAAGACAGATTAAAAAAAAAGGAGAGGTTTTTAAATTTTAATATTTTACTTTTAAGGACATAACTTCACAGAAGATCATTTTTCTCAACATTTTACAAAGACTCGAATGACTATGAAAATAATAAAATGACATCAAATAAGCAATGTTCATTCTACTCAACGATTTTTAAATTGTCATTAAAGCAATATTAATTTTTTTTATAACTTTAATTAAGAAATATCAAATAAATAATACTAGAGACTAGAATTGAAATAAAAGTAGTAAGTACCTAACTAAATTAAAAGCAATAGCTATGGAATATCTATAGTGCGTAAGAACATTTATGATGGCAATCAAATAATTATCCAGTAATATATTCTTTATTCAGTAAAAGAAGTCTCCTTTTATTAAATTATGTTTTTATCCAGTAGTCTTCTTTCATCGAAGTGTATTCTTTATTGAACAAAAAAAAAAAAAAAAAGGAAGACAGTCAGAAATACTAGAAAAATATCCACAATTTATACAAATATTTAAAGGAATATTTTTTATTGGATTCAAAATTTTTCAAGAGTGAAAAGAAGAAACAAAGCTATGTAGAGATTTTATAGTTTCGTTAAGCCGAATCAGTTGATAAGAATTTAAAAAGGAATTAGATGATATGTTCTTACGATTAATGAAGCTTCAAATAGATACATAAATATGTGGCGTAGAAGATCCAGGTAGATGTTAAGTATAGAAACTCAGGAATGCGACAGTATTTGGTATAAAAATCTCAATTTTCAGTTATTGATTCAAATATAGTACTTTAAGTCATAAAAAAGTAAAATAAAAAATAAGGAAAATTTAACTAAAAATACAGAATAGTGTTTTAATAATTTAGATGTGAACTAACTTTTGAACTCACTTTTGAAACAAATGATGGAATTTATATACACTCACATGCAAGGTTAACGAAACTTTAATAGCGTTCGAAAGTTAATGAAAGTTATCTGATAACAATTCATTAAATAATGTTATGATAGAATCACATGATTTCTTTTAATACTTTCCCCGTTTGCTATACTCAAAAAATGTCTTTAAAAGCATTGTCTTGTCAAAAAAATGTCTTAAAAGCGCCGAGCAATGTATTCGTTTTTCAACTGAACAAATAGCTGCTTCAACCATTTAGGTTTGCAGTACTTAGAACTCTCGCTTTTTAGTATAGAGAGTTTTAGACTGGAGTTGTCGATAATGTATATATAGTTGAAGGATTCCGAATGAATAATGATGTAATCAGTATAGAAGCATTTTACAAAAGTATTCACATTTTGGGAACAATGTTTAAATTTTGGAAATCAATGTTGCTCCCTGTAGGATATGTATCTAATGCATGCATCTGTTTTCAGAACCAAGGGAACTATGACTTCGGCTACAACGAAGGGCATAATGAAGGTGGCACCTTCAGGCGCGAGAGGGGAGACGCCTTCGGTAGGAAGATCGGGACCTACGGTTACACGAACAACGAGGGTCTCATTCGCATTGTAAACTACGTCGCCGATGAGAACGGATTCCGGGCTGAACTGAAGTCCACAGAACCTGGAGTTGACGAAAAAGAGCCTGCCTCTGTTATCGTCTTCAAAGAGGACACACCAACCTTGATGACCTACCCAGGTCCTGAAGCAGCTGCTGTACCTGATGCCGAAGGAAACATTCCTGGAATCGACCCACAGTATAAACCTCCAGTTCTACAGGCCCCATTAAGTCAGCCATTGCAAAGTGCTGCATCAGCACCTATACCTTACGCCATGGCTCCAGTCAACAGCAATATCCAACAAGCTGGCTCAGTCAGAGTGATGGTGTCAGGACAAAATGGCGCCTACTCATATTCCTATTAAAATGTGATCTTAAGAAATATTGTAAATTACATTGAATAAAATTTTTCATATAAGTTGTAAAAGATTCTGAAGTTTATTTCGTGCAAAAAAAAAGGGTTTTTAATCATGGTAAATAAATATAATTTCTGTTAAATTTAGTATTTAGAATTCAGAAACAGTGTCGCGAAATTCAAAAACTTTAAGCTGTTAGTTTGAAGTTCCACATAGAAAATTATTGCTGAAGCATAATGCGATTTCTTGGGACATTAAAATTCGAATTCAGTTTATAAATTGTTCCCATCTAAATAAATATTATCCAGTTGCGAATGAAATTGCAGAAAAGAAATAAAACTTTCAAACTTGAATAAATGTCAGAGAATCTGAGAATGTTTCAATATTATAACAATTGAATTTTAATTGAACCTCAAGGGATTCATTAATAGATCTTACTGTCACTTTTAGAAAAAGTGTTTCCCTTTTATCTAAAATGTGAAAAAAACTAAAAATAGTATTGCTAGTTATTCTGCTTCAGATTATTCTCACTTTTCCTATTTCTGAATATTCTTATAACAACAAATGATTTTTAATATTTTTTAAGCTTATTCTTATTTTCACTCTAGATTAATTGATTATACGTACGTATTTTAAATTATCACAGTTTATCCAATTTTTAAAATTATTTACTCCGTGCTTTCTAACCTTTTCTAACCCAAAAGGGTTACTAATCTCGAAATGCGATTTTGTGTCAAATAATAATGAGTCTTTTTACTTTTCAATCTAATCTGTTGCCATTCGGCAAATGTAAGATATTTATCTTTCAAATTGAATCTATGCGTTGCAGATTAAGGAACTAAGCTATTTGAAAACAATAGATGCAGTGTAATATTAGTTTTTAACTTTTGAATCGTATCGATTTAAATTATCTAAAGGCATTAGTTCATATCTATCTAATTGAAAACATTAAATGCTTTCATAGAATGACTTTATATATCTTTTTAATTATTCACTTATTTCACATTTTGTTAAACTTTAATGAACTTCTTATTAACTAACTCAACGATTGGAAAGCCAGCAATGGCAACACTGTACGGAATGAAATATTTTTATCTCCAGCACGTGAAACTGTACATCGGAAATTCTAAAGATATACTGTTATTAAATATTTTGTGATTTTACTGTTGAATTGAATTTTATGCAGCGTAAGTGCGAAGAACTTGCTATTTAATAAATGAAGTTAGCACATGAAACGTTAATGATAAAAAGACAAAAAAATGTTTAAGTCATCTTACTAAGAGAACTGAACGTTGATACTATAAACTAAGAAAAGGCTGAAAAATGCAAACAAATGTATGCTAGCACTTAATACTGCATCAGAAATTCTAAATATATTCTGCTAAGCTGCTTTTAAAGTTTGTGAGATTTTGCTTTTGAATTATATGGCGCAAGTGCGAAGAAATCGATGCTTAATAATAAAGCTTAAAAAAATGGGTTAACAGACGGATTCAGCGAGAGCAAAAAAAGCCTTAACAATCATTTTTGAGAGGACTGTTAAAACCTGAAACCGTTCCGAATTCTTTTTTATCTGAGTAGGTTAATAAGTCTCTGGTATCAGTTATCTTGGAAAATTCCATGTACTTTCCTAATTAGGATAGTTTTCCTTAGGTCTTACAAATGCCGACTGACTGCAAATATGTAAGCCTTATTTAAAATTAAATTACAACTCAATGCCAGCAAAAGAGTTACTCAGAACTATCGAGCGATGAATAGGAACTATGCAGACAAGATTATTGGACCAATTACATTTTACTTAAGTTTCCATTTTAAAGTAAAAATGTTCCCAACTTAAATCCTCCGCAAAGCCTGGCTGCCTGATTCAGATATTACAACCATAACTTCTACAACTGTCTTAGCATAATAATTAGAGTGGATGTTATATGAATAGTCCTTACATTTAAAAAAATCTAAGATTAATTTCAGTTGCAGTACAGTAGAGTGTAAAGCTTCTAAAATCTGCGATCCTTTCTACGGTGAGTTCTCAAATAGCAGCATCTGATGGTAAGATAAATTGATAGAAACAAGAAATTTCTCTTATAGTTAAAGATGCTCAGGTTTTATTCTAATTAGATGCCACATCTTTCAGGATTTTATTTTCCTGATCTTCTGAGGGTGATTATGTATAAAAATTATTGTTTTCCAACTTAAGCTCCTGGACTCTTCAAGGCTATGAAACGAGTTTTAAATCTGTCTTGAATGAAATATACCGAAAGTCGCTCCAGCGTCGATATAATTAATGATGATGTAAAGACCAAACACTCCTTAGTTAATAAAAATAATAGGAAGTCAATAATGTGTAATAAAATATATGGCACTGGATTATTTTAGCCCAATTCGCTTGAGCTGAATAAGAGCCCTCATCAACATGGCATACATGCACTGACATATTGGAAAACTAATCAATACTTGACACTGGAGCTGAAGCACAACTGCTGATAGAAAACTTCTTTTTTAAGAGAGGAATGCTGGTTTTTAAACTGCAGAACTTATAGGGTGCAGCTTAAGCTGAAAGAAGATGTTACCGGCTTTGACCCCAATGATGACACCACGAAGATTGAACCTAATTACTTTTCATTGAAACAAAGAGAATTATATATAGCTATATATAATTCTCTTTGTTTCAATGAAAAGTAATTAGAATCCATAATTTGTCTTAAATATCATGCGTATTTTAATGCACGATTTAATAATTTAAGCTTAGAAGTTATTGTGGATTCCTTTCCACTAATTAAAAAAAGATTTTTTTAAATTTTCCTACTAAAAAACCAGGATTAATAGTCTTTCAACGTAAGTAACTTTAAAGGTTTCTATTTTATTTTCTCAACTCAGAATATATCTTTTGAAAAAGAGGAAGATTCACGAAACAGTATTCAATATTTTATTGAATTGAATTTTATTGAAGTATATGAAATACTTATACATAGCAATGGACTGCAAACTCAATTTCAAAAGTGTAGTTTGAGTGAAATAAAATAGGTAACGTTAACAGATAGCAGAATTTAAAATTTTCACTGAAACACTGATGTATCTGAGGTTATTACGATAAAAGTTTTTCTAGGCTTCTAATACTTTTTCAGAAATGAATAGTTCTATGCCATTTTCTGGGCAACATTAGTGAACGGTTCATGAAAACTGATTTTGTGCTGCCGATCATTTTTCAAATTCAATCAAATGATTAGGAGAAGAAATAAAAGAAAATAACAGTGTGAAGACTGTCACCTCAAAGAAGAATTTGTCATTAAAAATTTCAAGGAGCTAAAAATTATGAAGAAAACATTTTAATGAAAAACTTTATTTAAAAAAATTATTTCATAATATATAGTTACATAGCATCAGCAAATGTTCGTAAAAATTATTCGGTATATTATAAATTAAATTCATTTTAATTTATATCAATTTAATGCATTGCTAAAAATATAACTTTAAATTACTAAAAAAGGCGCATCTTGTATTTAAATCACTGAGTTTCTCAACCAGTAAAGTAGTCATAACTTTGAGAGGCTAATTAAAGATATTCTGTCTTGGTGAATGGTAATACTGAGAGCTGATTATGCATTAGAGCGCTTGGAAGATGAATTATAGAGTCATCGTGTTAGTGATAGCACAGTGATAACAATTGTCAAGGGATGTTTCTAGATTTTTTCCATTCTTCTTTTCCACTATTTCGAGACATGATTTTGTGTTTTATGAATTTAATGCACCAAGTTTCGCATTTGCATGTTAATTAACAATACACATCTTTCGAGGTATGAAAAATAATCCAACAAAGTGCCCAAAATACCCTTTTTATGAAATTAAAATGATAGCTTAAATAAAACGATGCCCAAAATACCCTTTTTATTCATACGTTTTATAATATTTATTTCAAATTTCTGACAATAATTATTCATGTGATGCCATTTTCTAATCAGAAATACAAATCCTTTTAAGTCTCACATTTTAGACATATAATTATGGTGCTGCCATCTGTTGTTGAACGGAGGAATTCCATCGCTATTTCATAAGGATTTATATGTGTAAAAAATATGGCTAATTACTTAAGAATATGAAGATTTTTAATTAACAATCAGACTTTAGGAAAAGGTTCCCAGAAAATTATTCATTAGTATAAGGATAATGTAAATGACGATTTTGCTAAAAAATGGCTAAGATCACACGTTGTGATTCCAGTTAAATTAGTAATTTACGTTAATAATTTAAGATTATTAGATCAGAACTGCTTTTTAATGTAAAACATAAACGTGTTTAAGGACTGACTGACTTTCTACAGAAATCTGTGGCATTCTGCTATAAAATGAAAATTATGAAATTAATTCTTAAGCATTAAAAAAGTGTTATTTTAATTAAATAACTGCTTAGGCAGAGATTAGATGATAAATATGACTTATTTCCTTCCAGCTTGTGAAATGTAAAGTAAAGAAAATTGCAATTTGAATTATCATTGTTGAATAAGTTAGCAACTTTAAGTACACAGGTTACACATTGAAGATGTTAACAGGTGTTACACAATTTTATACAATCTGAATCTGTAATTAGGTGGTAAAATTACTAGTATTATATTTTAATTAATATTTATTATATTTTACAACCTATTAATAATAATTATTAATAAGTTTAAAATATAATAAAACTTAACCAGAAGTCTTTTGGAAAGCTGCTGGGAATTTTTTCCGTTTCTGTTTTAATCACTGTACTAAAAATATTATGCTGTAAAAATTACCCAGAATTTAAAAAAAGTGTAAGTCTAAAGATATTTTTTTATTTTCGTCCGTAATTCGAACTATCAATTTTGTATTAAAATTTACCAATTCACACACACACAGATATATGTAATAATTTCAAGAGTAGGAAAGGCGATGGAAGATTAAATATTCAGTTTTAATTTCAGCAACATTATTACGGTTACACACAAGTCGGCACATTAAATGTGCCTCTTCCGAAAGGCTTACATTTTGATAACTTTGTAGCAAGAAAGCAGAGGACAGACAGCAGTATAGCTAGGCCAAAGTGTGGAAAGCAAGTGCGTAATGTTCAGGATGAAATCTCAAGTCAGACTGAGTTAGTTTTGGTTCTCAAAGCATTCTGATTGGATGGTTAATATTGCTGTAAAATTATTATTGGCTGTTAAGAGTTTTAGTTCCGTTTATATCATCAGAATTATAAGAGAATTATGTACGATTCATAACACAGATTTTTCTCGAAATGACGCAGTGTAGAGAGGGGTTACTATTTTTAGAATAGAGAAGGGAAATTAATTTAGGTTGCTCATTTAATCTTTTACATATTCTTTTTCTTACATATATATGTATATTTGATTCGTTAGGGTGAACCTAATTTCTCAGCTTTATTCTTTGCATCATCCATATTGCTTCTTAATGTTATTGACACACTGTTATCTCTGTCTTTACGTTCTAAGAGTAAAATATTACAAACAGAGGGTTCACTGGTAATAATGCTACAGACAGTTCTACTACCTGTTTCCTACTTTCAATAAAATTTTCTTTTCTACATTTGAACATTAACAGTATCTATATGTATCTATGTATATAGCATTCCAACATAATGAACTAAGCAATAGGCATTCTGCCTATTATTTAAGTTGTGTAAAGTATACTTAATCTTTATCAAAGATACCTGCAGATTAAAACGCAATATTGTGAAAAACAGGTATCAATCATCATCATTTGGGACAGGTATCAATCAGCCTGCAGTCCAAATGCGCTCAGTGTAAACATATAAGCTACGATATCCGTTTTAAGCAAAAACAAATACAAAAAAAAAAAAAAAATAGTAACTCATAAAAATTAGCAAAGTAACGCATAAAAATTAGCAAAGTTAGTTGTATTTGATATTTTAGTCAAGATCATCGATTCTGAGGGCGAACAGGTACAGGTCCATCTTCACCAAAAACAAAGAAATCTGCAAATCTGCAATAAAGGGAAAGTCATGGTTGTATTTGTAGCCAAGAGGAGTAAAGAAAACAAGAAGATAGAGCCATTTGCCAACAGAAATAATAATGAAGATTTTAAAAATTTAAATTAATACAATTTTAAAAGCGTTACGAAGGACTAGATTGGAATTAAAGTCATTGACTAAATAAGAAAATTCTTTATGAACGTAAAAGCTCCAAAAAATCCAGTTCACTAATGGAAGAAGCTCTTGGGATATTTTTTTGCAGACCTAAAGTCAAAATCAAGATTTGCTAATTATGGTTAATCTTAATTTAAACATGAATCTATCCAGACTACAAAAGCATCTGAATAAAATGCATGCTGATAAATAGGACAAAAATTTATTCTCTTTCCAAGGACTGAAAAAGAAATATTTAAAACAGCCAACTGTATAAAGACGTTTTATGCCATCTTTTAAACAAGAAGATGATGGAGTACGAGCAGCAAATAGTATTTCATTATTAATGTCCAAAGCGGAAAAAACACACAACTGGCGAGGAATTAATCTTGCCGGCAGTTAAAGAGGCAATGAAAATATACTTCATCATAAGACATCATCAGAAAGCATCAGAAAAATTCCTCTGAGTAATTATTCGGTACAATGAGGAATAAATGAATTGAATAAGTCATTTAAATAACATTATTCGAATATTTTCAAGTTTTCCGTTCAGCTCGATGAAGGAACTGTAACAGATAATGAAGCACTACTCTTATCACACGTTCGATTCTTAAAGAAGAAAAACATTTCAAGAGAATTTGACTTGTCAAAAGAATTAATTACTTGCCAAAACATTTCGACACCGATACAAAGGGAGAATAAATATTTGATATTATGAGCAAGTTTTTTCGAAAGAAAGAAATTTATGTTTGTAATATTTTATCAGCTGCTACTGATGGTGTTCCAGTAATGACGGGGCATCATAAGGGTTTCATGGCGCATTTAAGAACCATAGTACTAAATACACTTAATTGCGCATTATATTTTCCTGCTGAGCATTTTGTTGTATAAAATCTGAATGAACGCCTGCATACGTCGCTTCATTACGTTATTAGAGAAGTTAATTTGATAGGAAGCAATTCATTGCATGACAGGTTATTTGACCAGCTTTGTAAGGAAAAGGAGGAAGATTACAATCGCTTGCTGCTGCACTCAAAAGTTCGTTGGCTATCAAAAGATATTTATCTGAATCGTTTTTTTCAATGTGTTTGACTCAGCACTGGAGTTCCATAAAAACAGAGACGAAACTCTGAGCGAAAACCTGATTGCACCAACAAATGGCATCGCGTATTTGACAGATATGTTTAAAATACTATTTAATAAAGTCAATTTACAATTGCAAGGTGATGAGTTGAATGTAATGTAACGAAAACAGGTCATATCTGCTTTTATGGGAAAACTTATTTTGTTCCATCGAAAGCTAGGTACTGGTGAATACAGTCACTTCCTTAAATTATAAACAGTCTTTGCAAAACAGCTAAATTTACTTACTTACTGCCAACACTTAGAACGTTCTTCTGATTTTACAGAACGAAATCAGGATATTTTACACATAAATGTACGAAGTTTGCCTTTTAGATCCGTTTGCAAATGTAGATAAAGGCAGAATCTTTAAACTTAGCTAGTAGAACTCACAACTAACAAAAACCTAAAAGTCAAATTCAGAAATGGATGCTAAACGTTCTGGCTTCAAACATAAATACCGTCTCTCTACTCTGAATTGTGGGCAACAGCGCAGATATTTTTAATTGCTTTCTCTTCATCGTATTTGGTTAATTTTATGTTTACTGTAGTAGCTAATTCACTGTTAATAAAAGGAATAGACTGCACATCACTGAACAAGGCAGTTTGTGATTGATGTTAAAGAAACTGAAACTCGGCATTAACAAATTCTTAAAACTCTACCAGCCTCATTCATCTCATCATTATTTTTATTCTCGTTTTTGTGTTTATTTTTAAATTTACAATAAAAAAACTTTTTACTACATTTGATCATCATTTTAATTAATTTCTAATTTGTGATTCTTAATAGACAGATAGAAAGATAAAATTGGTATAGATGACATGCAACACATTTTAATATTTGGTAAATTTAGCTATTATGAAAAAGGGGCCATTGGAATTTTTTTTCTTGTGAAGGGGGCGGGGGGCCCAGAAAAGGTTGGATTGACTTAAATTAATGTATCTTTAATAGCTTAGTTATTTCATATTGAACCTTTGATATCGAAATCGTACCCGTCAGCAGTCGAGCGTCTGAAATGTCCATATTCTGATAATTTAAATCCAAAATCATTTTTCACGTAAGGAGGACGTTAATTGGATGCGGTGTGGTTTTCGTAATTTTTTGTCTCATATTTAGAATTGCCATTTTTCATTAAAACGTCTTTTAAAAGGGCATCCAGCTGCTTCAACACTGTTCCATTTCAATAATAAACCAAACCATTTAACTTGAAAGCTATACGCCGTTTATATATTTCTAGATAAGATTAGATAGATATATTTGTTCCTATTTTAAAAACCGATTAAACAATGATGATCGTAGATATATTTCTTCCTATTTTAAAAATTGATTAAACATATTTTAATTCATTTTATTAACAACAGTTCTTTCATGTGCTTGTATTCTCTTTTACTATTGCCTTGTATTTATATACTACATAATAATAAAGGAAGTTTCCCTTAATTTGTTTCAGGAAATAATTTTAAAATTTCATATTCAGATTTTTTCAGTACAAATAAATCAGAAGTTATTTCACTCTGGATTGTTTTCAAAATCCGATAAATTATTTTTTATGTTCGTGTCAAATAAAAATTAATTAAACATTGCATGATTAGGGGCTGCTTGGGATAATTTCTCAAAAACAAGAGCATAGTAACTGTTTCAAAAATTTGATCTCTACGCTGCTTTTAATACTGTGAATAGTTATTTTGTCTGCGAAAATGCACTGATAAAAACTATAAAAAAGAAAATACAGAGAAAGCCCTTATGGTTTATTGCGTATCCGTATAAATTACAATATTATGTAGCTTACCATATTTTAATAGAATAATAATATAAAACATTTAATTCATAAGACAGAAACATACTTCGCTACTGCAATCTTGTACAAAAAGGAAATTTTGAATACATTTTCAATAAATATTCTATTTTGAATATTATTAACAACAGATACATTTTATAGATTTCTGCAAATTATTGTAAGAAAAGCGTCGAAAGATTAAAAAATATAATACTAGTTAAATTTCATAAGAACGGTAGAAAGGTATTGGTACTTTTTAATTATCCGCATTTCCATGAAAAGTTGTCAAATTATTGTGACTTTGCGCATTTGAGGAAACTGTTTGTTTGGCTACCTTTACGGCTCATACATAGTGCTGTGTTCATGAATAATAAGGAAAATAAACATTCAATAAACTCCATAGCCCCATGATGATTCGTTATGATCCCCCCAAAAAAATCACTTGAAGGATGGATATTAATCAGAAAAATAACGATTAAATATAAGGTGAGTTACTACATGTGTATGCAAACACTTTTGTGATATGTACGTGCGTGGGTTGGCTATTATCTCGTGAATATATTATCTCATTAATATGCGTGAGTTGATTATTGTCTCGCGTGTACTCGAAAATGTGCTAAAAATATTATTCTACTGACTGTTGAAACAGGGGCATGAGGATAATCAAATAAAAGAAAAAAAGAGGTAGTTTCCTGTATTTTACAGCTAATATAAGCATTAGAATAATAAGTTTTTTTTTATATCTCAGTTTTGCACTGGTATATTATTTAATATCAACAGAAATATATAAAAAATGAATAGATGCGTACGTAAATGAAGATTCCGTAAAATCCATGATATCTACATAATGCTCGTAGTAATTTTATCATTTTTTAATTAAAAGAAAAAAATTAAAAAACTAAATGAATAAGTTTCCAGAATTTTAATGGCAAAAGAAAATTAAATTTTCATTTTTAGAAAGGATTATTCTGCTTTCTTTGAAGGAGAGTTATTTTATAAAAGTAACCTCTCCTTTTTAGTTTGCTTAAATTTTTAGTTTGCTTTAAAGTTTGCTTAAATGCTGTGCTCAATTTTAAAATTTCTCTCATATTCTTTGCTTTAATTATGAGTAACATTAGATGATATACTGATAGTTCCCATACGGGGAAGAAAATAGAACTTGAGCAACGTTCTGAATTAGACCTGGATAAACTGGCTGCGCTTGGGACTGAGAAGCTGGAATGTAATTTCTCATCACATTGGAAGCCGACGAGTAAATTACTGAACTCTGAGCTGTAGATTCGGAGCCTGTAAGTCCTCTAGCCAAAGCTTCTGAGTCTGGCTCTTTTTCTTTTGTGACTGTAACGTTCGATGGGTTTACAGCTTCTATTCCAGGTTCATTAGTCAGGACTTCGGCACGGTAACCATCTTTATCTGCGACATACGTCACTATACGAATCAAACCATTTCGAGTGGTGTATCCGTAGGAGCCTTGTCTGGTCCCATTGGCGAAGCCTTTCTCGCGGTAAAACGAAGCACCTCCGGTTAACTGGTTTTCATTGTACCCTACATCGTAGTTACCTTCTGTCTGCAATAGCAAAATTTAAATCAATAATTAAAGTTTTTTTGAAATGAGCACATAACAGATTATCAAGTATATATCAATCTAGAAGATTAATATAAGGCAAAAGGTTTTGATTTTATGGAAAACTTTATTTTATTCAAGGGATTCGGACAAAAGATCCTCTTCTTCAAGAGCAGAAGTATCTAGAAACAGAATTTTCCAATACACCAATACTGACACAACGATGAATTTTGTCTAACTTTATATTTTACAAATACCTTACGACTCTAGCATTATACAGTGTGTTCCATTCGAAAAGAGTCCAGGGAAAAGTGTGATAAAAGTCTTATAATAAAAGGAAATGAAACCAAATTTTTACATGACATAGCTTTATGTTTGAAAAATGAAAGTTCATTAGAACAGGTGGTGAATTGATCTCCCCCTACTTGTACACACAAATTCAACATGGCACTGCATGTTCGCATGTGTTGCTGCCAGAGTATTGGGTGTCATTGCTTGGATTTCACAATGGACGTTCTTACGCAAATCGTTGACCTACGTGGTTTGTGCTTGTACGCGTTATCTTTAAGGCGACCCTCTAGAAAAACTCAAGGAAAATCAAGTCTGAAAAGTGATTCCACCGCGTTCATATTCGCTATAAATGTGTGGCATGTTGCCCTATCTTGCTGGTACCAGCCAAGTGTTAGCTCCTCATCATCCAACTGGTTCACAAATTCATGAACCAGGGTCTGGTACACTTCACTAGTGACAGTAGTGTAAAAAAAATTGGCTCGATGATGCACCGCTGTGGTAATGCACAAAACATGCCCATCTTCTGTGAATGAAGGGTTTCCTCCACGGCTGCATGCCCGTTGCCAATACTCCAACATGCGTTTTATTAGTTCACGTATCCTGACAAGTGGAACCATGCTTCATCATTCTACCACGTATACTCTGGCAGCTGCATACACGAAAATGCAGCATTGTGTTGAATTGTATATACAGTGGAGGGAGCTCACTTCCAGCACCTCCTGCAATACACTCTCATTTCTCAAATATAAAGGCATGTTATGCAGAAATTTGAATTTATTTCCTTTTGTTATAAGATTTACACCATACTTTTCCCAGGACCCCTTTTGAGTGAGACACCTTGTAGAACGTAGAAAGATTTACGTTCGAAAATTTATTCTAACATGTTTCATAAAAGCTGAAAAAATACTCCTTCTCCAAATTTCAGGTTGATTAGAGTGTCATCAAACGCAACTACCCATGGATTCTAATGTATTTTACTACATTTTTCCTCTTAGTATGTGATTTCTTCCAGCTTCATTGCACAATGTATGTATTTCTTGCATACCGTATATAGCGTCTGAAATTAAAAAAGCACTTTTAATGCTATGAATTCATTTAATAAATAATGGCTACATTTCGTCAGAAGAGTTATGTTATTGCTCAGTACTTTTAAACCTACATCGCAATAAATGTCCAATTTATTGGGATGTATGTAACAATTTACAAACGAGCTAAAGAGAAATTTCCTTGCCATTTGAAGAATCTGAATATAAACATCAATAAAATGTTGTTTAGAAAGGCACTATGGCACATACGTTTATTCAATATGCGTCGCTTACGCTTTTGTCCACAGCAGTTTTGATAACCTTAAACGAATGACATCAGACTGTATAGATAATATGTTTCAAAAATGGCAATGCAGTTTAAATAAATCAGTGAAAGTATATTAGATGCATACGTATTTTTTAAGATTTCAGTTGTAAATAAAAGCTACAAAATGACTCATTAAATTTATTCTGTTCGTCTTAGACGCAATCTAAATTAAATTTTCCACCTAATGTTGAATTTTGCAAAATTAAATTTTAGTTACATGTAGCCAATTATTTATATTATTATTTTATGGAACCTACTAGCGCGATTTAGAGGGAAATATTTCTCTGTTTAATATTTTTTAAAAATTCTTTTTTTTCCCTAACTACAAATTATATTTCCTTAAATATATGTATTTCCAATTAAATAGCTTCTCAAAATAAAGCATTGTGCAGAAACGGTTTGAACAGTGAGGAGAGAAATATTTTACAAATATAAAACTAATTTTTCATATGATCATCATAGAGCAGAAGTTTAAATATGTAAAATATTCATTTCATATTAATAAGTTAAATCCTAAAATTTCATAACTTGCCGTGCAATTTCATGAAAATATTAGAGAGTGTATTAAATAATTTTTCAATACCTATTATTAAGAGATTTCCAATAGATTTAATAAAATCCGCAAAACAAAACTAGCTTGTTTTGGCAATTAATCATTTCGCATCAGGGCGAATAGCACTCGTATTACTCGTTACTATATAACAAACTTTTCAACATCATTTCCCAGACCTATTAGTTCCTTACCGATTTTTCAAGATGTTCTTATCAAAATATAAAAGACTTTTCTTAAAGGATACCCCATATAAATAAGAAAATTTTGTATTTATGAAGCTCGCTTATCCTAGATGCTGAAAACGTTTTCATAAAATTCTCTATTTTATTTCGAGAAATTTTGTAAATGTAAGAGCATAATTATGGTTAACATTTAAAGGAAAGTCTACCTATAGCCATCTATTTTAAACATTTTGCACATTTGATGTCATCTTTACTGCGCAGCTTGCCTTGTACAAATAGCTAGCCGTGGGGATGCATTTTGCTGTAACATATGCAGCTTTATCAGATTACGTAAGCTAACAGTACTTTTATTGTTCGTACATTTTTATTACTATTATTTGAAAACGTAGCTCAGCTTTTCTCCCACTCAGCAGACTCCATTCTGAAGTTTGCGCAGATCAGAAAATTCTCAAAGTTGTCGGTCTATAAGTATGGTTTGAAAAACATTTCAGAAACTCATATATTACTTACGTCTTGAATATTTATTCGAGTCAACGTATCTTGGCCATTAATGCCCACCGGTATCGTCATTTCTTGAGCCATCGATTCCACAATCAAAAGCAAGCAGCACAGAAGACATAATGTAGGCTAGAGTAATAAACAAACGTCTTATATTACAAGGATAAATATGTACTCGTGTAAGCCTGATTAATGAGACTTTGAAGCTGAAAAGCTGAAAAATCTTCTTTTAAAGTATTGCACTGAGAGGAGTTAAGAAAGAAAGATAAACCACGCAAAAATATTTAAAATGTATATTTTGAATACCATTTAAGCATATATAATGTTAAGTACACGTTATGAAATTTATTCAATTTTGAAATGCATAAAGTATTCTAGTACAATGAGAAAGAAATTAATGAACAGCTTGCTAAATATCGCATTTAGAAGCAAATGCGTTTAAAATTACATTAATGTGAAGGAAAGCATTAGAACTAGAATAGAAAGAAGAGAAAGATGCTAGAAGAGGCATCAGCAGGTATAACATACTTATGCAAATAGATCTGTAATATAATAGCAGGGTGTGAAAGGCATTTATAAAAATTAATATTTTAGCAAAAACTGATTAAATATAATTAATGTATGAATACGTTTATTAATAAGTTGTATTTATTAAATGTTTGCAGAATTACAATCTACAATTTCTTTCATTACTCACATAACGGGGAGGTAAAAAATCAATTTTCAGCATATAGAATTTTAGTCCGAAATTCAGCATCCCTATAGTTTCGAACGTACCAGATTAACTCGAATTTGGTTGTGTTTTTAATCCTTTAAAAACCGATCTGCACAAAAAATAAATTTTGGAAAGTGTTTACCCCAAAGAACGTTGTAATTTATACAAATTATAATACTTACAAATATCTTTTGGAATATACTTTAGGAATGTACATTCTAAATATCTTTTGGAAATGCAAAGAAAAAGAACTTGCACTCAATTAAATATATAAAAAATATTATTATTTTAAATTATGAAAGGTATCATTGTATAATTCGTATGTATTATATATTATGATATAAATTATTTCGATAATTTTTCAATATAAATATTTTCAATATTAAATGTCGTTATCTTTACATTCTATTTAAACTTTCAGAATTTTTTTTTACTAATTCTAACACAATAATGCTATCATAAACACATTAGAATATGCTTAACGTATTTTGGTTTTCCAATCCGAAATTCTCCTTAAAAATTTGTAATTTTTTGCAAAAGGGAAATTTTTTATACAAACCTCTTTTTCTACCTGATTATTTAATGGTTTTCAAGACTTTTTTATGCATAATTCTAAAAGATGCTGGAATTTTGAACCTCGTCTTGAGTTTTTAAATGCGAGATTTTATATTTAAGAAAAGGGGATACTGAAATTGAACTTTACGTATTCAAATCTTTGAAATATGTTCCAATTATGTTACTTTAAAAAATTACTAGTCATAGTTATTAAAAGATCGGAAGATTTATTACATCAGATACTCAGATTTATTCATTCAAGAACTGAATTTGTATCATTATGTTATTTTTAAAAATAAAAATTGATCATGATTTCAAATGTTAAATATTATTTATAGGTAAAATACAGTTGAAGAATAGCATTTAATATAATTATCAAATTTTATAGCGCATTTAATTATTCTGGAAAATATGCTTCTCCTGCATTCTTTGTTATACATACTTCTGTCTTTCATCAAGAAGTAATAAAAAAGGGGATTACAAAATAAAGAAATATTGCTTACTTGCGGTGATTAGATCTATTAATTTTGTGATACAAACGAATAGTCACTATTCTCTTCAAAGAAATAACTTCTTCAGTAGTATTAAATTCGTTGGAATAAAAAAGACAAAATTATCATGCCGCCTGTTGATTTTGCTTGCTTAAATAAATAAACAAGTGCTTAGTTTTGAATTTCTGAGAGTGTTAGTTTTCTTTACAGCTAATTTTGTCAGCTATAGGTAAAAAAAAAATATTCCTCCTTTTCTTACACACCCTTGTTAATATCATTCAGGGTAACACTGACGCATGACTAAATACCATTGTTTCTTTTTTTTATCATTATTCCAAAAAACTTTTAAAGTTCATATTATCAAATTCCTGAACCACACCAAGTGAAAATCGTTAGCATAACTTACGAACATTTGAAGCTTTCCATTTAAACGTTTTGAACACAAAACTGTTTCAGACTCTGCGCATCACACTTATCAGTAATAAAATTTCAAAATTTTGTTGTTATTAGAATAGCTGAATTAAACATTATTCGTTTTTATTTCTAAAACTTCAAATACAGCGAATGTTCATCATTGTTTTCATTTCACTCTTTTTAAAATTTTAAATTTTACGTTAAATTGCCCATTTTTTTCTGATTATTGTATTATACTACGAAATTTTTCTTTTGAAACATAAAATAAGAATAATATTACTTTACTGTAGTTGCTTTCACCATTTCGCTTCAAACTGCTATTTTCTTAGCTATTACGAATTTAAATTTACTTTTTAAATTCCTTACTATTGACTCACTCTCCCTATGGCTTGTTCAAATTTTCCATCGTTAATAAAATACTTTTTTTTCATCCATTCGAGTTCAAATACATTTTTTAAACTTGTAATGGATGACACTTGATGTTAATACGGTTTTTTCATATCTTAAAAATTATTTTTTGTATTTTTAAAATTTTCCTTTATAGACCTAAGTAGGAACTGACTTTAAAAAAACTACATTACTTGTTATCTTATAGTTTCTCAGCTTTCTTGACATAATATCGTTCATTTTATTTATTGATTTACTTAGAGATGCAAGCAATTCTGTCAAACATTTAAAATATCCTCGAATAGAAAAGCCTTTTTTTTAAACAAAGGAGAGTTCAACTGTAGGCGTTAATTTTAAAAAGGGAGCATATAATTCAAAAAAATGTATCGTTTCTTCAAGGTAAAAACATTCTTGAAAGAATATTGCTGATTTCTTGTTTTCTTTAGGTATGTAGAGAATGTATTTCTGAAGCAATATCTAAGTAATGTTGTATTCCAATTGATTTTAAAATCTACATGCTTCAACGTATCTACATCCTTTTGCATAGTCTGCATACTTCTACATTATGTTTTTTAAGTCTACATGCTTCTACATGCTAAGTGCTGTAATGTATATTAATGAAATATTTATTGAATAAACAGATGATATAGAAATTCTGATAAATTTTAACATACCTTCATCTTGTATCCGGTTCCGGTCGATTGTTAGTTGAAAGAACTGAACTAGTCTAACGCGTTATATCACGAGGAAATATTTAGGACAAACCAGATCTGCCAATGTTTAAAGAAAGCCTATATCTTTACCCTTGCAGCTTGGTGTGAAATAGACATAAATTAAGATTAGCACTACTTTGTAGAAAGGATTTGTACCAGTTTGATGGTCGGCAGGATTTTCAGGCGATGTGTTATAACATATCTCTTTGTGGGTGACATCCTATAAATTTGAGGTTGAACAGGAATTGCTGTGGCTAGTGAAATCAAAAACGTGTTATCTGGATAAATATTTTTTCTGCTTGGAGGATAGCTATTGAATGGAAGTTTTTATCGATAGAGAAGGAAATATTTTACCAAAAAAATTCGGAAAAGTGAAATTAATGTACTTTCCATAGTTTTGCGAATGAATAAATGGTTTCGCAAAAGTTTCGCATAAAATCTTAGAAGAATTTCTCGCGTTGCATTAATTAATTATTTAGATGTTACGTCATTAACAACGGAACTGCTTTACATAGTTTTCAGTGGAAAATAAATCATCATGATTTTCTAAAACTAAATGACTATAGATACCACATGAAACCTTTCATTAATTACAAGCAAAACATAAGCGACTCGCCATTTTATGAAGCCCCTTTTTATGAGTTATATGGTGTTGTGATATATCGATTTTTTCTCAAGAGGTTTGTAATCGTTTCAGTGATACTCCCACAAATGAATTTCCAGTTTCAAGAAACATTTTTGAAGTCTGCACGCTTTTATTAAATTGGGAATGAATGCAATAAAAAAATAATTTTTGGACCCCATTTTGAGAATATTAGGATTGTCTGAAAGCTAATCCATAAAACTGCTTTAGAACTGTGCTAGCGTTGGAGTGCAAACAAAGTTAATGTTTAGAATCATCGCAATTGAGGACTGATTTATTAAAATGCCGACGTTATATCAGGAATATATCTTGAATCAAAGCGCTGAAAGTTAAAGTTGTAATATTTTAGCGTCCCTAAAGATTTGATTTATTGTTATAGTACATTTTGTGTTAAATAATTTGGGATATTATTTCATTTGCTCTTGGAGTTCGTTAATACTATTTATCTCTCTCTCTCTCTCTCTATATATATATATATAATAGTACATATATACATTAGAAACATAAAATTTCTTTCTACTAGATAAAAGAATCTTGGAAGTCTTGCACAAGGATTTTATTTCCATAAAACTTATGACCTACTCAGAAAATATACGGAAGTGAAATGATTATTATTATTATTATTATTATTCTGTTTTTTTTTTTTTTTTTTTTTTTTTTTTTTTTTTTTTTTTTTTTTTTTTTTTTTTTTTTTTTTTTTTACTTCTGAAAGCTTTCAGATTTTATATTACGCCCAAAGGATCGTTTTTCATTTACATACACATATATGTTTCGAGAGCATTTGGGCTAATGTTCCCTTGGGTTAAAAATATTTGAAAACAGCCTATCTGTAGAATTTCCGATAGACAGCCTTGCACGCTGGAGATAAAAGAGGTTTTTTTCACTGTAAATTGTTGCATTACTCGCTTTGAAATCGTCGAGTTTGTTAATCAAAAATTCGTTAAAGTTTTATAAAATATGAAATACACAATAAAACAAATTCAAAATTCGGGCTTCCAGGTATTATATTAGGGTGGAGGACTACTGTATTGTTTTTTACTACCGTTGTGTTTTCACACCCTTGTTTCAATGCGAGACCGTTACCTTTTTTTCAGTGCGAAAAACACGCATACATTCGTGCAAATTCTTCATTATTTAACTCCTTTAAATATGATACAGGGCGATCCTATTTGGTGACAACAATCTGAAAAGTGATTCTGACTTCTATAATGTTTCAAAGCAAAATACCTTTTTGAGAATACTAGTTCATCTGAACTAACGCTTCTCTGGGCTAATAATAAATAATGACAAGAACGCTGCATCATTATTATCACCCAATCTCTTTTTATAGCCCAAATGGCTAAATCTGAATCACTTTTCAAACTTTTCAGACAATTGCCGCCAAATATTATAACCCTGTGTTATATTTAAAGAAATTAAATAATAAAGAAACTCTTCGTGAACGTATGTATGTTTCTCGCATAGTGAAAAAAACAACAGTACCTAGAGCCATCAAATTTTGAATAAAGTAGCCCTCCGTCCGAATATGAGCACCTGGAAGCACAGATTTGGAATTCCGAATTTGTTTTATTGTCTATTTTATAGTTTGTAAAGCTTTGATGAATTTTTTTATTAAAATACTCAACGATTTCAAAGCGAGCAGTGGCAACACTCTCTTTCTCTCTATATATATAAATATAGATACATGCGTATTAGTAACACAATATTTCTTTCTACTAGCAACAGAAGCACGATAGACTTGCACAATACTTGCATTTATTTCCATAAAACCTACTCAGAAAATATATGGAAGTGATAAAGGGAATAAAACCTTTTTGTTTTCAGCACGCGAGATTTTCTATTTTTGTGGCATTAACTCAATTGCTCTCGAAACGTGTATGTGTCTGTAAATGATGAAAAAGCACATTTGGGCTTAATATAAAATTTGAAAACTTTCAGTTTTTTATTATCATTTATTTTTGTTTGAATGAGGAAAAATAAAAATTCCAAAAATATCCTCAGAAAAATGAATAATGTTGCACTAACGCTGTGCCGCGTACCTTCGCGTTCTGTTACCTAATTTATTTACAAAATTTATTTACTAAAATATTTACAAAAAATGTCAAGAAGGTAAAAGGGACCGAAATAAGTAGATTTTAAAATGTTAAATGTGTGCAAAAACAGTGTATTAAGGTAGTGGGCGACATACTGAGATCCACAGGTGAAATTGGTTAGTTAACGTAAATCGTCATTCCTAAGTACTTCACTAAAGAAATTTGGAATTGGAAGACATGCATTTTATATATGAAGCTGTGCATGGAAGTGGAGCAGAGAACGGTCCTCGAATTTACATTTGTTCAAGCATATTAACTGGGAGCTGTGCTAGAACGTACAGTTCCATGTTTGCAAGTGTGACCTGATGAGTGAAAGTCATCGCAAAACTCCTGCAATGGAAGAAGTTGTAACACGTACAATTGAAGATCATATTGATACAAGCCTGAGGGTTGCTGGACGTACATAGGGTGTGAAACAGCCAACCGTTTTGTAGACTTTAAGTGTGGAAGATATACACCCATATCATTTGCTGAGAGTAGCAGGTTTTGAAACCTGATGTTTATCCTTTATGCATTAAATCTTCCCATACCTACCTTACAACAGGCTGCAGCAAAATTTGATATGTGTTCTTGCGTGTTATTCTCTGATAAGGATACGCTTGCATGTTCGAGATATAATTTTTAACATCCACATTTCCTCTTTGGCGCATGATAACCTACATGATAGCAAATCACATGCCTACTACGAAAGATTCTTCATTAAAGTTTTGGTTGGCAAGCTACTTAGCAGAACTGTACATAAAATTTTCTACATGCCATTTTTTGGAACTCTTTTTCAAAGATTCTCCATGTGTTCGCACGAGAATGTGGTTCAAGCACAATGAAGCGCCACCTCACTTCGGCAATAACATCAAAAATTGCATCAACGCTACTTAAGGTCCCCACGGTATTGAACAGCCTGGACCTGTTTCTTGGCCTTCACCATTACCAGATTTGTCACACATGGATTTCTTTTAAAAACACGTTAAGGTATCCGAACACGTTGAAAAGGCCAATTTTGGCAAAAAAAATGGCAATTTTCTTTTATTCGTTCATTGGACAGACTGTTTATTTAGCTTTCCAAAACTGGTATACTTTTGTTTATACGTTAATTAGAAACCAAGATATTAATGATTTCATAAATCACCGAAAGTGTCATTCAAAGGGTTGAAAAGAGCTAGAATGGATATATAATTTGTTGTCTTTAAAGTAATGTAAGACTTTTAAAGAGGCGGGCTTCTAGAAATCTATCTGTAGTTGTTCAGCCCATGAATTATTCCAATAAAATGCAAATTTTATTATTACCTGTGGAAAGCGTTATGTCCTCCCTAGCATATGAGTTTGATTGATTCGACACTGCATACTGCCATTAGTTTATCTTCGTCTTTGATTATTTTAAAAATATTCTTTAATATATAAAGGGTATAAAAAATCGACGTCGTATGTTTGTACCGAAAATGGTAAGGACAAGTTATGCCGTGTCGAAGGAAATGGAGAATTATTAATCGCATTTCCATCGAGTAACTAAACATAAAATGTTTCTGATCATCGGAGATTTTTGGTGATTTGTGACGTAAATATTTATACTTAGTAGTGTCATAATATGATGCGGAAGTCATATTCATCGTGTTAGAAGCGAAAATTGGGAAAAAATATCTTGATGGAGGGTCAGCGGCTTCACTTTGTTTATTTGACAACTTTAAAATGGAGTTAGATCAGGAACATGAATGTTAGAATCATGAAAATTTGCTGTATTGGTCCATTTTACACTTTCTAGTGCAAACACTTCATGGTCAGTGCCCAGATGACAGACATTTTGTAAATATTAGCGAGTATCAGTTAGAAGAGTGTAAACCCAAATCCAAAGGACTGGCAATAATGTAATTTCTTTCAAGTGATAAAACTATATGAGAATCTCTTTTAAAAGTGCTCTAAAAAAACATGCAAACCAAATTTTAATGACATTTTTTGGAAATTTTACCGGTTTTGCCATTGGGAATACAAACTCTAATTGGGGGGCATATTCGTTACACTTTAACAGCGGCTTTTGGCTTACTAGATATTTTAAATATCTGGGTATGAATAATTTTATCTAGGTACATGTGATATGTAGTTGAGATTTAGTCGACCTCGACTTGGCGATTAAGGAATCTATCAATACACCCGAGTAAAAGTGGCCAAAAAACAAATGGCTGAATCCCAACAGTAAAGTGAACACGGAGGTATAGCTTAGATATGGGAGTTTTGGTATGGGTCAAAATTTATAATATCAAGCTTAAACTTTGCATTTTTCTCAAAATTTTTTTTCTAAACTGGCTGACTTGGTGCACTATAATTATTATATTTAATTTTTATGAAACTTTGTATGCTTAATATTAGTTTTTAGGGATACCGATTATATATTTATTTTGAAATTGTGGTGCTTTTTAATAAGACCGTGAATTTATCGAACTCTCATAAAAAATAGATTCATTGAAACTTTTGAGATATCTTTAAAATCCATGTCATTCCCTAGATAACCGTAATTTATTATTATATGACTTTATATAACTTTGTTTTTTCAGAAATGGTTCAAATGTTTTACATTTTTAAAATTTCGGCGTAAGTATAATTTTTTGCAGTATAATAAATATTATACATTTGATTTCCTAACTTCTCTGTAGAATAAAATGAAAATGGTTTTATCCTCTCATTTGAAAAAAGCTCCAACGGCTCGTATCCCCAAGAAAGCTTTGAATCCACTGAAGCTAATGGACTGACGGCACAGTTGCATAAAAAGTCTTTGCTAACTGCAGCTCACAAAACGTCGTTGTGAATTTTGTATTATTGTTCACGGTCCCATTTTAGAGCTGTTGTTGTAAAAACACGAATCCTTAAATTGCTTGTTTCTTTTTGATTTACCTGTCTTTCTTATTCACCTGTTCTTACATTCCTTACGTGTCAGCACTTACGCAAGTCATTTCCGGCACACATTACATTATAAAATCTGCTTTTTTCCGTCCTCTATACCTGCCTTTACATTTTTGTAAGCTTTTTTAAACCAGCTTGCATATTACATACACATATAATTACGCATACATGTTCATTACTTCGTATCACATTTCGCATCTGCTGTGTTTTTGCTTCCTATAAGAAATGCAATAAGCAAACAGAATTTTAAGTCCATTTTTTGTTCAGTTCATGAAGCAAGTAAGTAAATTATTTGTATCCTATCTTCCTGCTTAATTTCAAAGCAACCTCAAGACACCAAGGTAGCTTTCTGTACGCATGCCGAGTCTACTTGCTCCCTTTTTCAACTTTTTGTGTAAAGATGATACTATTAACAGAGTTTCACTGGCAAGTTTCTCATTTATGTACCTCAAACTATTTTCAAGGATCTCTTATAATTTTAATCTTCTTCCCCCCCTATAATCTCCGCACTTATTTGTCTGCTTGATACTAGAACTGTCTTTTATTTTTCCTTTATACCCTATAAATATTCATTTTCTCAATTAGTTTGCAATTTACTTTAAATTAAAGCTTGCATTAGATATTGATGCAATTTTTTCCCGAACGCTTTTTCCTTGTATCAAGTATATCGTTTTTTGTCTATGTCTTCATGGTTTATTACAGATCAGTCGCATCACTGATCCCTTTTTCTCCACCTGTTAGCGAGCTTATACATAGTTAAACCTTATCAATAAAGTCATATTTTACTTTGAGGTAAGTTTTGAAAATACAGGCAACTGAAAAGTATCGGTATTATACTCTGTATGAGGAGCCTACTGCTGTAGCGAAGGGCCCGGGTTAGAATCCCAGAGAAGGCATGGGTGTTTGTAAATATATAGTGTCTTTGCAACATGGGAGCACTCTAAATATATGTCGAGGCGAAACTCCTCTTGAAAGGTTGGTGATAGGGAAAGAGGGGGGGGAAGATCCTCGGGTCCGTACCTCCCTCGGGGTTCTTTACATCAAAATTGGGGGCGGAACTAACCGAAGTCTTACGACCTGTAGTCTTCGCCACCGACAGACGCAACTGCTCTTGCCACGACAGGCATCTTGCTCTGTGCTCTGGTGCCAACGACAGGCTCAATCTTGCTCTTGCCAACGACAGGCTCAATCTTGCTCTTGCCAACGACAGGCGCAATCTTTCTCTCCTTGCCAGGATAAATTTCATGGGCTTGTTCTGATGTTACTGGCAGACACGTGAGATAAGTCACAACACAACACACAACACACTTTAAGTATTAATACTTATTTCTTATTTTCCATCAGCCAATACTCGTCTCTATATCATAATCAGCCTTTTATGCGATGCATATTTCAAAATTTTATGCTCTTTTACTTAAAATTTGAAACAATATCAAATTTTGCGATTGCATAATAGATCAATTAATCAATTAATAAATGAAAAATTAAACAAATGAATTAATTAGACGAAAAAATTAATTGAAAGCATCAATAAGTAACTAATTATCCATACCGGAATTTAAAAAAATTATGTTTTTTCCATAAAAAATGTATTTACAGTTTTCTTCTTGCATCAAGAGAACTACAATCATTGGATTTAACAAAATTAATTAATTTTTATTTGAGATATATGCGAAGAAAATCAAATAGAAAAGAGTTAAATATAATTTAAATTTAAGTAAATTATAGTCCTTTATAAACAGCGAAAAACTAAAATCGTAAATAAATGATTGTGGTATCTTTTCTCAGCGTTAACACATGTTTTTTTCATTTTAACTTTTTAATCAGAAATTCTAGGAAAGAATTTGTTTTTTTAGTGCTTTCGAAATTTCACCACAATTGTAAATCTCTTAATCCGATCTAGCATTAAAATAATGACCACTCATTAAAAAAGACACTAATCGCAATGCTCATCCATACAGATTACGAAGTTACATATCTAGAGCAACTCTAAGCCAATTGTGTAACATGGTACAAAACTGGACTGTAAAAGGTGCTTGGAAGATGTATAAATACTCAGAGTTTTCAAGGAGTCAACACATTCCAGTTCTCTTTGCTTTATCATCCTCAAACGGAAGATTACCAATCCCTCTTCAACATGAAGGTAAGTGCTAACCAATTCTTAATTTTTATCTGGAGGTTACAGAGGTTGTTGAAACTTATGTAAGAGTATCTCAGTTATTGAGCTTTCAATGATTTCTTTGAAATTTTGTATTCATGAACAGCTTTGGATCCACTACTTATACTTAATTTCATTAAAAGATTCTAAATATGTGAGGTAGCTTTTAATAATGGAAAAGTATATAAAATATAAATTATTTATGAAACTGTGCTTATGCAATCACGTTTACAGTTTTTGATAAGTTATTTGGAAGCCTTTAATTCATCACAAAATTTCGTCCATATAAATGTTTATCATGTTATATTTCTCTCCCCTTCTTAGCATGCCTTTGTGGCGTAGTGGTCAGCACGCCACAATTTTATCTATTATTGAGATAAAAGTTATTCAGAGTGGGAAATTTTATCTCAAATTCAAAGGGTGTTTTTATTCGACTGAATTTCAGTTTCCTTTTTTTCTGATAAGATTCAAAACTTATTCCTTACCAAATAGCAAGAATAATAATTATAATTAAATGGTGCCAAAGTTTTGAAATTCCCAATTTTCTTAAAAGGTATAGCAGATTTTAAAGGGAGGCAAAAATTTGCCACTTTTTTAGAGCATGAAACTTTGAAAAATAAAAAATGAAATTCATTTCGTATTTGTTAAACATGTTGAATAAGAGCTTTAAAGATTTTCTAGATCAAGACTCGAATATTTAATGTCTCTATATTTGCAAACGATATCTTACAGTATGATGATAAATTAACTAGATGATAATTAGCACCTTATTTAGTCGGATGGAAATCTTCTGCATATTACAACTATTTATTTTATAAAATTGGCCTACATTTTTCCATCCAAGAAATATATATGTTAAGATAGAAAAATAAAATTTCGCATAATATATAATCTAAAGCCAAGCAGAATTTAATACATAAGCTTTAATACATTTACGAAAAACATAATTCAGGGAAAAATATTTAGGCAAATGCACTTAACAGCTAAAATTTCCTTATCTAGTTCATAATATTATCAAAAAAGTCTTGAATTTAATTTTCTAAGTGATACATAGGAGACATGACAATAACTAAAATGAGCTTTAACTTACTTTTTAAAGTTGGGTTAAGAACAATTTCAAAGTAATGTCTTTATCTACCTATATAGCAGCTAAATATACATAACAGCTGCTCTAAAGTTATAAGAAGATTCAAAGAAATATTTAAAAGCTAAATCATCAGCGTAATGTGCACTTAATAAATATCACTTTTTATATTCGAGAAGTTATGCAACTCAATGCATCTAAAATAATACTAAAAATTGCTTTCTGGTTGTCATCAAACAGCAGTATAATACTATAATTCATTTAACTAAATTACGCATATTTTGCACAGCAATTTTATTGCTCTAAAATTTTTAGTGTTGCCTTAAGGTTAAACCTATAAATTATCTCTATATTTATGGGGTAACTTTGGTTTAAAAATAAGTTTTTTGTATAAATTTTTATTAAAATTAATTAATAAATAGAAAAATAATTACATCATGTTTTTTCTACTTTGATTTTGCTAACTGAGTTCTACTTTTCAAAATACGCTTACATTTTGTAATATTAATTTTATTGCTTGTTATTATTATTTTCTATTAAACATGAAGATTCTATTGTAATAATTACTTCAAAATATTGTGTGATATAACATTTTGCTTCAACCTTATTTATTTTAATAAAAAAAATGCTTATTTAGTGAAAATATTTCTTGATTCGTTCGTTCTTTTAATGCCTAATTGAAGAGTGAGCGCTTATCATTATATGGTACAAAACCCATAGATAGGAAAAATAACGATTATTGTTGATTACTTTAGACTAAAGATACTCATTAAATCAGACAAATGATACGGCTCGCTTGAAATTGACAGACGAGAAGTTTCTTTTAGGCATAAACATTTTATTTCAATTACTTGCAACAAACCGCTTCACTACAAACTCATTTCTTTAAAAAAATTTTAAAACTACTGTTCTAATCAGAGTCTCGTCATAAACTGAGGCGTTGCTACTCTTTTTCAAACAAAGTATTAACTGAGGTAATTTACTTATCATAAGTGGCGCAATAATTATTTGCTTTGTATTTGTCTAATACGCGTAGCAGCATTAAAACGCAAAAGATTGTGCGTATCTGAAAAGCGCTTAGTAGATTTTTCAGGAATTGAGATTCTTAAATGTCAATGGCCGTTTAATATTTTTCTTTTACCAGATCAGACCTTTAACCAGTCATTACCTTTATTTAACCAGTCAGATCCTTTACTGATTTAACCCTTACTTAGACTTAACCAGTCAGATCCTTTAATTTAGCTCTTATGTGCTCAAGAGTGATAAACTAAATACATAAAATAGTTTCCTTAAGAAATATCACTAAGAGATGTTCAACATGCCTGCGTCTAATTTAATGTTGTTCGATTAAGAATTATTGAATTCAAGTTGTACTCTATTTTATTTATAGTTTCAAATAAACTTGTTCATTATGTTTATTACTCTACTTCTTAGTTATTAAATAATTGTTCAATTATCAATTAACTTATCTAAAGTTGCAGATATGTATAGGGAAAAATTAAATTTTCGGAAGAACATTATTTTTTTTGTAGCACTTTTAAGTGCTAACTAAGTGCATTATTTTAATTGAAGAAATGTATCTGTAATTTATTCCTTTCGACGAAATGTGCTAGAGGTATCCGTCTTCGTCAAAGCAAATTTTGCAAGAAGCGATTAAGCAAATCGTATTTGCATCATACACATAGAAAATAATGGCTTGGATATAAACATGTTTCCATTGGCATCAAATTTTTCAATTTTGAACCTTTCTTTTCTGATTCATTCAATTCTTTTTAGAAATTAAAAAGAATATACATGAAAATAAAACAGCTAACAAATTAAATAGAATTTGAATAGAACAGCCCAGAATCATTAAATTGTCTGAGTGTAAAATTTTAAATTAACTCTATTAATATCATTAGGCTCCCAAATCGTTCTAAATATAGGACAGAGAACAGATTGCATTTGCTTACACAATTATGTTCTAAAAATTAAATATGAAATTTTTAAAAAATAATGAGTGATAGTAAAATATATACTATAAATGAATAAAAATTAAAGTGCTTTAAACTATTTAAAAATTTCCATATAAGGAATCAATATTTCATGAAGTTTTAAATGAAAGTAACTAGCATTTCTTCAAGTATAAATTTTACTAAATGATGTAGTGGCTTGTCTTAACTTGCTGTATGCTTCCCTAGACCTTAGTAGATGTTTTAATTTTGTTACCATTATTTACTTATACGTAAATAAGTCAGTTAATCCATTGTTAGTTAAAGAAAAGGCCCAAACTGAGAATTGCGTGCTTTTCTTTAGACACTTTATAAAAGCGCATTCATTATGAGCACAAACTTTTATATTTATTGTGTTACAGTTAAAAATCATAAAGTTTTCAATTAAAAAACAATGAAAATTATACATTTTGTTTATAAAAGCATTTATATCTAAATTCAACAGATAATTTCCTTTTAGCATCTAAACCAACTATTTTCTTTCAGGTACTCGCTGTTATCTGCGTCCTCTTTGTCGCCGCCGTTCAGGCCAACCCTCAGTTCAGAGCTCTAAGAGCTAGAGCTTCCGGTTTAGGAGGTGGTTCAGCACCTCAGGCACCACAAGCCATCTCTGCCTCTCAACCTGCTGTCGGTGCTCCAGCCCAACCTGCATACCAACCAAGTTATCAAGCTCAACCTCAATTTCAAGCTCAACCACAGTACCAGCAATTCCAGCCTCAACCCTTTAACTTCGGAAGGTACCCAAATGCTCCCTTTGGAGGATTCCAGGCTGTTCAGGGCTAACCTAAACAAATAAAAGGACTCTAATATATTGTTAAATATACCGAGAGAATGAAATTTTAGCAGACTATTGAAAAGCCTGCTAATTGAAATAAAGTGCCTAAGCATTATTACGTGTTTGTCTTTATTAAATTAAAATATTTATTTATTAAATTCTGGAAGTAATGTTGTGTATTAGAAATCACAGTTGAATAATATATTTTAAAATAATAATACGAAATTCCTTGCCGTTAAACAATGTTAGTGAAACAACAGGAGAATAAGTTAACCAGCATTCAAAATTGCTGTATAAATTATTTTACTGCTGTATATTCATTTGTAAGAATGTTTATTAGAGAAATTTTATGTTTTACAAATGTAATATAAATTCATAATTTCAAATATCATAAAGGAAACAAGAACACATTCACAGTACAAAAATATTTTCATTGGTCAGTTTATTACTTTTGCTTAAAATAATATTATTTTCTATTAAACTCTTCTAAATTTAAAAATTCATTAAATTATTTCAGCAAGTATTCTAAGAAATTTTAATAGTGCACTTAAATATTTGTGATTTCTCATAATGGTATTAAAACTATAATCAATAACAATAAGACAACTGCAGTCAAATATACAACAGCTGAAATATCTGGAAACTAAAATTTCTAATAACTTAATTAGCAAAGCACATGGAAAAGTTCATTAAACGTTTCAGAAATTAGTAGAATAAGAATTAAAATACTACAGGTTAGAAAATTAAATGGAGTTTGAATATAACAATATTTAAAAATAATTTTTGTTCATATTTTGATCTTAAATTTGGAATGCATGAAGCAATTTTTGAATGGTTTTAATCAGTTTCAACTTACATCTCGTTAAACCTGAAACGTTAAAGAACAAGAATTAAATTAGCTTTCAAGACTATGCCTAGAAGCTTCAGAATCACAGAATTAAATAATTCCTTTCAGCTTATATACTATATAAAGGTTGCACTGAAGAAATGGAATTTGCTACTGAATTTCTCCCATTTATTCCTTCATTATGTCTTCTACAGAGGAACAGTAAAGCAAAATAATTGCACGTATATATAAAGGAATCTGAAGCATCATAAATTTCAATAAATGATCTGATAGGTTCCCAGAATTTCACAGGTATTGTTATAGAAATAATCTAAAACAGATGAGTAAAAATTACCATAAATAAATTAAATAAATAGAATATAAAGTTTAATTTTACTTTAGTTCTTAAAGAAACGTACTAAATATTTTTTTAACTTGTGTCATTTTTATGTATGAACTATTACTTCTTACATGACAGGTTAAAATGCTCATACTTAATGATTTGAGCATCATTAACGATGACCAACCACCACTTTAACATTTGAAGTCTTAAAATTGTCAGTATTTTTATAGTATAGCAAAATCATAAGCAATGACAGATCATATCAGTTTACAAATTTATTTTTCTTATTTCCAAAGACAGTAGACATATCAGAATTAGTGTTTCTAATGCAAGTAAGTTAATTACAAGAAAAAGTTTCAAAAGTGCATAAAATCTATTTACAGAACCTGGATTTTATTTACCTAAGACTTTCAGGAAGGTCTAACTTTACTTTAAGACCAAATAAGCTAATATTTTATTTTGTATGAGTAAGAGTTTTAGATGTGGACAACAGCGCGCGAGACTGTATGGCTTGAGTGTGAAGAACATGATATTTAATAAATAAAGGTAACACACAAAACGTTAAAAAAAGCTCCTTTGGGCGTAATATAAAATCTGAAAGCTTTCAGACTTGTCCCCCCTTTTTTTCATATTGTAATTTATCCTCACAGTCTATAGAGCGGCGAAAGGAAAGAAAATCATTATATGTAAAATTTAGAAAAGTAGAAGAAAATAGCTCTCCTAATTTAAAAGATTGTATTCACCTCACGTGAATTTCATATTGATTTAAGAACCCAGTTTTATCATCACTTAAAATCATTCACCTGCGAAATCTTTTTTTTTAATGCGACGTTGTTTGCAACTACATGGCAGATAAACAAATCGAAATTTTTTGATAACCTATCAAAATTCAGCAAATCGCTTTATAAATTCGAAGAAACATTCATTTAGAGAACTGTTTTCTTTCTATCCGAAAGTGTAAAGATCAACAGTTTGCGATTATTAGTTTGACCGTTATACAAAGATTTATAAAGACAATTTAACATTAAATTTTGAAAAAAAGTTTGTGTCGAACTTTGAAAGTATTTCCTGTGGAATACTGTACTATCTATTGTCATCGCAAATACGTATTTGAGAATATCCGGTCGGTAAATGAGGGTCAAAAATTAATTCCAAGATTTGACCCAAATCAAGATAGAAACCATGTTAAATAAAATTAGGTAAAAGTATACGGTCCCTCGGTTACAAATCGATACTAGAACTTGTGACATCCAGGTTACGAAAACCAGTTTTCTTTTCAAATAAAATATTTCCAAGTTAAGCAGAATTCCAATGTAGATCAGAAGGTCAGAAGTAGAGTCTATCTTACTAGTCCTATATATATTGTTTAAATGAAATAAACTCAAAACTTAGCTCATTCACGGTGATGTTTGATTCTCAAATTATGCAACACTCTGTCATCCTTAATCGCGTTTCCTTAAGAAAGGAATGTGCAAGAAACTGATATGAAAGAACATTTTTAATTGAGACTTAAATATTAGCACGAAATGTAATATATTTTTGAGTATCAATGTATCAGGTTCTGTGTTCCTCCTTACTTGCTTAGGGAACATTAACTGTCCTGACTCGGAACAGGGAGCTTACTAAAGCTATGTTCAATAAATTTGGGAAGTAGACAATACACACAGGAAGGGTATACGAAACCCTTTATTTTTCTCTCTTTACAATGATTTTACAATGATTTCCGGACTTCGGAATACAGAGACCAACCACTTGTGGTCTGAACGTAAGAATATAAAAATATTAACTAAACTCTAACTAAACTAACTTTGGATTAATCAAACAAGTGCCTAACTCCAAGATTGGCCGTATATTAACAAAAAAGCCGTATGTAGTATAGAGAACTGCTAACACTACGATAAGAATTATCAAGAGTTTAAAATTATCAAGAGGATTAAACCTCTGGCCTTGAAGGCAACCAGCAACCGAGTAAAACTACTATGGCAAGCGGCCTGCTTCTAGTAACTCCTTCTTCTCTCTTGCTTGGCAAAAAGCCACAGCTTAAGTACTTGGCGTTCGCAAGACAAATTTGCATAAAATAAGTTAAAGCTTTTAATTCTGGCCGGAAGTAGAAAATAAGAAGTGATAGTAAAGATTTAAAATAAAATAAACGTTAGTAAAACTTAGGATCCTTACAAATGAATGAAACCTTTGAGAAATGTTTTGATATTACAGAAGAACTGAGCCTTATATTATCAACTTAAATTTATGTAACGCTTTTAACTGATGTAATATTGAATTATGTCTGTAAAAATCATTTCAAGAAAGATTTTTGAAGTGAAAGAACTTAACTCATTAGAAAATAAATCTGCTTCGCATTATCAACACAGTCCCAAAAAATTCTTATGATATTCTGGAGTTACTCATGGGATCGGCGCATGTCCTGAGAATACATCAGAATATTTCCCACACTTCTTGAGTGTTCTCCCGAGTGTTTAATGCCTCTAGCAGTGCACTGAATCTAGCAGTCTCCTGAGCAGTGCACTGAATGTTTTTAGAACTTAAAACTCTAAATCCTCAGTATGTCTTTGAAAATCTTATAATGCTTGATGTCACGTTCCAGTATATACCCAAGAAACCCTCAAGCAAATTCGAAAAATCAAAATGTCTAAAACTGAAAATAAATATCCCCAATATCATACGATAGAGCTCTTGAAGAAAAAGTAGTCCGAATATCCTAGAGATATTAAATGATGAAGCCCTTAAACCATCTCAGAATCAACATCTTCACAGATCCTGGCACACAGAGACTTAAACAAGACATTCTCAGGATATTAGATTATAATTTCTATAGGTCGTTTAATATTTATTATCCATCCTAACGGATGATCTTAAGAAGTTAACTCTAAAAGTTTGGCTAAATTATCGCCTGTCTAAATGGTTACTTTGAAACACAATATAAAACTCAACAGTAGAATCTAACATAGAGCTTCGATTATCAATTACTTGTCGTAATACAACTAATAGTGAAAACAAAATATTGCGACTTGTCGTCGAATAGCAAATGCAGCAAATGGCTGAGAGCTGCATTTATTTATTGATTGATTTAAAATTTCAATAACCGCTGTTCGATGTTACATCACCTTTGAGTAGGATGGAAAAACCTACTAGCGTCCTAATTTTTTACTTATGGAACATAGCTAACGTTGGTCACTCTAAGTTTCTCCTCTGAGCGCTGCCGCTTACAGCAGGTGACAAACGCAAAAGAGTTCTACTCAGGTGTCGGTTAAGAATACAGCCTAGTTTTTAAACTACGCCCCTCATTGTACAGTTTGTATAACCTCTGATCTGAGAGAATAATGGGTTCAGGCAGGGCTTAAAGGAAAGAAATCAGCATACAGCTAACTATTAGTAAAACATAAACTATGTATGTCACAAAATTCTTCAGGATATCTGATAATCAAGATTCTCGATTAGAGGTGTTTTGAGACATAAACTAGACATCCGGAAGATATTCTGTTTTACAAGGTAAGAGATACTAGAAAGAATATGAAATTTCCTATTGAATATTATCCCGTTATTAATATCGCCCTCATTTACAGAATCTGTTAAGAAAATTACTCACAAATATCAATAAAAACTTTAAAGCTACATAAAGTTCAACTCTGGATTTCTCTGATTTTCTAAGCAAATTAATGCTGACATTTAGTAAATTACTGTAACTAAACTAGGTTCAAAACTCTGACGTCAAACTGGGCCAGAAATGTATATTAGGAATATATAAAATTTTCAAGTCATATTTTTCACGTCTCCTGCTTCAAAATAACCTAATGTCTGTGCATACTTAGTTTTAATTACATTCAAATAAATGAGGTAAAGAAAAAAGAATATGTCTATGCAACATGCTTTGAATTAACAACCTTACCTTTCTTTTCAGATATTTTTAACTGTGATATTTTTTCTTCTG